GGCTGCCTGCTCATACGTCCTGCTGCGCAACAGCTTCTCGGGAAAGTGGGGCTCCTTCGCGCAGCAGCGGCCACTGGCGCTGAGCAGCGTGCGGCGTCTGCAGCGCCCGCCGACAAACGTGACCGTGCGGTGCCAGGGCGCGCTGGCCTATCTACGCGCTCTGCCCTGCCTGGCTCCCCGGCACTGCATCTATGCCGACCCTGTTTAAGCTTCAAGGTTCAAGGATCAAGTGTAGCAAGTTCGTTGGTACAACGAACGAACTGTTTGCTGGTCAGGCCCCAGCCAACCAAAATGAAACCTGGTCACACCTGATCAAATCTGATCACCTGACCACTTCTGACCAATCCGCGGTGTAAATTTGATTTATCAGGATTGATTGGGTTTTGCTTGCAGGGCGGTGCGACAAAGAGATTGACTCGAGCTTTGCAATGCCCGGGCTTTGGGATTGCTCTTTTGTCTTCTTGCAATTTTTTGCTAAGCAGACCAATGTCGAAGCTACTCAAAAACTGCCACCTGTTTTCCATTAGTATTTCCCTGCTCTCCCGCCAACAGGCAGAAGAAGCATCTATGATGTCCAAAAACTGGAGCCTTGCCTTTGGACAGGGCGCAGTCTCATATTCATTTTGCCTGGCGGCGCCCCCCTCTCTTGCAAAGGGAGCCACACTCAATGCCAGTGGCCGTCTGCCGCAAGCAAAGCCCCGCCACCCAGAGCCTTGCCCACGGACAGGTTCCAATTTCCAGTTTGTAAGCAAATTCGAAACCAACCAGAAACAGGTGCTTTCGCCCATGCTTCTGAACTTTGTAAGTACAGTTTGTGCCTTCTGGCAAAACAATCTGAAAGAACCGGCGCATTGGAGCATCTTTCGCGTATGTATTGCGCGGGCGCGCTTTGTGTGTTTGTGTGTTTGCGCACGCGTTGGATGTGTTTTTTTTTGATGGTTTGGTAAGATTCTTTGTGTGTTGGGTAGTTTGTGCGTCTGTCTGTTTGTTTGGTTGCGGGTGTGTTTGCATCTTCTCTTGTTGCTTGCCGCCTCCTCAATAATAAGCCAGAACTGGGTCTGGACCAGCTTGGATATTCGTGCGGCCTTGGGGGGAAAGCTTACTTTGCGACAGTGTTTTGTAGAAGTGGCGCCCCTCCCTTTCTCAAGCGCTCGGGCTGGACGGGCGCCATTTACAGCAAGGCTTACGCAGTTTCAGGCCAAAATGCGCAGTCAATTCAATAGCCGAAGTCATAAATGCAAAGGAATAGCCGAATCGCAATTCAAAACACAAGGGTCGCTAGAAAACTTGCCGGCGCTCAAGGGTAACTCAGGAACACCCATGTTACTCAGGAGTGTTGAAAGGGAAAGCCAGTCCAAAGTTTGGTGTGTTCGGAAGAAACGGGGACGCCGTGGTAGCAACCCCCCGTCTCGGCAACGCAAAGTTTATAAATGCGTTGCCCAAGCATCCCTTGCCTGGGAAAGCAGGGGCTCACAGGCCCCACACCGTCAACAGAAACACGTTTGCGAAACAAATGCCTCAAAGCAGCAGCTTCAGATCTCGCAATTGTTTTCGGTTAAGTAAACAATGGCCGGCTCAACGGTAGAGAGTGGCTAAACAATGGCCGGTTGTAAATAGCGTCTGGTTAGGCCGTCTTGGTCCCAGCCTTGCGGCCGCTCTGATGGCCCAGCGGCCTCCCGTGCGGCCTCGCGAGGATGCGCTGCTCGAGGCCGAGCGCCTGCACCAGCGGCGTCGCATCGAGTACCGGAGCGGGGGCGCAACAACAGAATTCTCCGCTGGCTGCTGGACCGCCTCGGGGAAGAGCGCGAGCGAGCGGTGCGGGCAGAGGAGCATGTTGAGGATGGAGCTGTGACTACCTCCATGCTTCTTCACATGTAGCGCAACACGCATTTTCACTTGTATGGCGAAGGAGAGTCTAGGCCGCCTCGATGTCCCGGGCCAGCTGGTCGTAGCTCGGCGCAGCCAGGCTGCTCTGGCGTGACTGTCCGGAGCTGCAAGAGCTTGCCCGAGAGTTCGGCTGGGACTGAGGCAGAGTCGCTGGGTTCAGGCCCCAGGAGAAGGGGCGTGGCGTGTGAGGCCGGAAGAGTTCTCCAGCACCCAGCCCATGCCGCGCGCGAGACCGTAGGCTGCGCCGCCTGCGAGTCCCACGGCCAACCCAGCCGTTGCCGCTGTGCCGACTCCTGCCGTGGCAGCCAGCGTTCCAGCAACCTCGCCCGCTGTGGGTGCAGCAGCCCTTGTACCCGAAGACCCCGCCCACGCCCTCGGCGGCAACGGCGACCTCTCCCTCCTCCGCAGCCACAGCTGCCGTCCGATGGCCTGCGCTGCGCCGCGCTCCACCTCCTGCGCGCGCTGCCCCGCCTCGTCCAGGAGGCGCTCTATGTCGTCGGGTCGACCGATGATCTGCGGAGGTGGCTGTGGTGCGGCCCTCTGGGCGGGGCGTCGCATTTAGGCGCACGTACTCGGCAGCGTCCTGGGGGAGCTGGGAGCGGAAGGCCTGCGCCGCCGCGAGCCCTGCTGCTCCTGCGCCCACAAGGTCCGCTGCTGCCTGCGCTCCGTCGGCCGCGCTGCGCAAACGGCCCGTGATGGAGGGCGGGCTCTGTCCGTTGTTTGTCCTGCAAGGTCGTCCTCGCCGAAGCGGTTTCCTCGTCCGTGGCCTCTGCGGGAGTGCGGAAGCCTTCCTCAGGAATTGCCCGCAGGGGCGTGTGCTGCAGAGGCTGCGGGTTGGGGTCCTCGCTGGACTGCACGAAGTCGTCCAAGTAGAAGTGGCTCGTGACAAACGTGGTGGCCTTGCGGTCCGGCTGGTCCAGGGGCAGCGGCTCACCCACAACCTGCTCGAAGCGCGGGCGCTGGCTGAAGCCGTGGGACCGAAAGGCCCTTCATCTCTTTTATTCTCCCCCGGCTTCTTGCTATATGTGCTATATGTGCTATATGGGTCTTACACGCCAAGCCGCTGAATCCCCACACTCTCCGGGTATATGTGCTACATGTGCTATATGGCTCTCACAAGACAAGGCAACCCACAGAACCTCCACTCTCCCCCGGGTCCTTGCTATATGTACTATATGTGCTATATGGGTCTCACACGGCAACCCACAGAGCTGTATACTACACACATAGCATCTCAACATGTGCCAAATATGCATTGTGTAGCACATATAGTGTATTTAACACGCGTCTGGATAGCATATAGTACATATAGGACATATAGCAAGGAGCCCGGAGAGTGTGGGGGTTCAGTGGGTTGGCGTGTAAGAGCCATATAGCAAATACAGCACATATAGCAAGGACTCCGGAGAGTGTGGGGGTTCAGTGGGTTGGCGTGTAAGAGCCATATAGCACATATAGCACATATAGCAAGGACTCCGGAGAGTGTGGGGGTTCAGTGGGTTGGCGTGTAAGAGCCATATAGTACATAGAGCAAGGAGCCGGGGGACTGTGGGGCTTCCACAGGTTGGCGTGTAAGAGCCATATAGCACATATAGCGCATATATCAAGGAGCCGGGGGACTGCGGGGGTTCGGCGGCTTGGCGTGTGAAAGGCGCGGCTCGGCAGGTTGGTGTACACGCCTCGAGGCCGTTTTTGGATCAATTTTGAATCAATATTGCTGCAACGAGAATCAACCATGGATCAACATTGGAACCTCTCTCTTTAGAGGGGGTTTCCCAAATGGGTTCTATTCCACCTGACCTCGTCCTGCGAAGGATTCGAAATCCAAAACGCTGCGTGCAGGCGTGTGGCTGCAACAAAACGACCCCTAGATATGCGCCGCAATTTGGCTCCAGGTTGCATTTCAAGCGATGTCAAGCTTTGCCAAAGGAAACCCCTTTTCCCTTTTTTTCGGGCTCTCTTTTTTGGGGACGCCTTTTTTTCTCTGTTTTTTTGGGTTTTTTCTTAGCCCTGCAAAGGTTGGCTCGCTTGAAATGCAACCTGGAGCCAAATTGCAAGCCTATCTAGGGGTTGTTTTGTTGCAGCCACACGCCTGCACGCATCGTTTTAGATTTCGAATCCTTCGCAGGACGAGGTCGTTTCCTGGACGGACGAGCGTCAGGAGCCTACCAGGTGGAATGGAATCCATTTGGGAAGCCCCCCAACTCCCGCTGGCGCGTCAGCAGCAGCGGCTGCACGTAGCTGGGCAGCGACGTTTCATTGAATTGAGTAACAGATGTCGGCATGCGTTTGTTGACTCAGGGATGAATGCAAGCCCGGGATGGGGGATGCTAAGAATCTTCGAGCCGCAGGCTAAAACATCCTCTGAGGTTCACCCTGTTATTTCCCTTGTTTAAGGTCCTTCAAACCTTTGCGGAAATGGTGTTTTGTGTGCAGCCGACATGTACATGCGAATGCATTTGGTTCAAGACCTTGATGATAGATTCGAGGCAAACATCGAACATACAGCTGTGAAGCAAAGCAAAAGGTCCGTATTCCACCGTCGCATCGGGTCGTGAGACTGCGCAGATCATTCGAACCCAACTGCCTTGTCTTTGGCTACGTGGTTGACTCGCCTCCTGGCGCATTGCATGAACCATTTTGAGTTGTGTGTCCTTGACAACCTGACAGGCGCAACCCCGCACTGAAGAGGGGGGAGCCGCTCACCTAGCATTGCCTTACCGGGGTCTGGCACTTTTAATCCGTTTCACGGGGGGTGAACATGCCCCCTGCTCTAGGTGCACCGCGTGCCCTAGAAGCAGTGCACTTTCCACCAACCCGGTTAAAAAGGAATGCGCGCTCTTCTCTTTCTCTCTCTCTCTCTCTCTCTCTCTCTTTCTCTTTCGTGAGGGTTGTTTGGGTTCAAGCTAGGAGCAGTGCAACAGGTCTTAACTCTGCCAACCTCGTCTCGGATCTGAGTTCTCCATTCTCGTGTTTCTGCCCCAGGCGGACCGGAGGGTGACGCAACGCATCGCCATCCTTTTTTCCCACATGAGTGTTTTGACGCGCGATTTTTTTCATGAAGACACCATGGAGCTTCCTTGTTTAGATGTCTTAATATGTACAGCTCGCACAAACAGACAAACGCACGCTGGTTTTGAATCTTTGCCAGGTTTGGTAGACTCCTGCAATGCCAGGTTTTGAGCACAACACAGAGGAGAGGCCATCTCTTGGATTCGTGTTCTTCAAAACGAAAACTGTCCTTCAGGCTCAAACGATTGATGGCTTCTCCAAAAAGAGACGGCGGATGTGGCCTCATGGAGTTGAGCACTTTCCGCCACAGATGTGTATGGCGCAGATGGCGCCTATGAGAGACGTTTGGGAGGTGCCTCCCTCGTGTGGATCTGCATGCGGGTTTCAGAACTTTGACGGGAATCAGCTCCAGAACTTCGAGGGCTGGTCCCCATCCATGCCGTCCATGGTTTCCAACATGATGCCAAACCTGTCGGTGGACACTGCGGCGCCGTTTTCGGAACCGGAGGAACGTCGCTACAGTGGCACGGTGAAATGCTTTTACGGGGAGAAGCACACGGGTCACGGCTTCATTTTCTGTCCAGACATTTATCAGCGGACGGGGCAGGTGCGTTGGGGTAAAAGCAAATGCCAAAGAACAACCAATTGAGGGGGTTTCAACAGATTTGATGCTTCAACTTGGGTGTATCCCAGTCACGTCCGGTTACAACCAAATGATGGTGTACAGAGAGGGTTAGGCTAAGTGTCTTGTTTGCCCACAAACCCCACTGCTCCTTTCTCTCTCGGATGGAACCCTGGGTTTTTTCCACACTTTTCTCTTCGCAGATTGCCAAGCGGACTCGACAGGACGTGTATCTGCACGCGCGGCAGGCGCATCGCTGCGAGGTGTGGTATGGTGTGGTAAAAAATCTGGAAGCTACCTTTTTAAGCCGCCTTCTTTTCTGAGATGTCCACAAGAGAACAAAATGGATTTCGGAAAGCCCAATTTGAAGCAAGATCTTGGTAGCCTTGGAAGCAAAGGAAACTTGCCACCACCCCTCTTTTGGGCCACATTGAGCCACCCACGTCGAAATCGTCGCGAGGTGGGGGACGAGGTGAGCTTCACCATTGTCTTCAACTCCCGCAGGGAGCCTCAGGCGCGGTCCGTGGTGCGGAAGCAGGACGGGGATGAGGATGCCGATCAGACCAGAAGTCTCCCCGGACTCCCAAGAAGACTCAGCGGGTTGCAAACTTTGGCTCAAGCAACCAGGCCTTGAGAACAGCAGAATTGAAGGGGGCAAGGAATCCCTCAAGAACGAGTGGGGGGTGCATAAACAATTTAGATTGTCAGGTAGACTTCTTTTTATGAGACAGGATCCAAACCGATGGATTTTCCATGTTCCCCTGGTCCCAGGACGAGGGCAAGTTCCTGTCCAGGAAAAAGCAGGAGGCCGAGAAGCAGGCATCTGCATTGCAGCAGAAGCGCTCGCTGCCTGTGGTGGAAGTGCCCAGTCAGCCGGGTGCCGTCATGACGCTTGGATTGGTATTTGGTACCTTTAACCTTTGAACCGTTAGAACAACTCTAGGGGACACTTCCCCATTCTTTCCAGGGATCCTTCTTTCTAGAAACCACCAAACAACTTGGCGAAATGGCTGGTTTTTGAAAAGAACGATGGCTGAAAAGAATGGGGAATCAAGGAATGGGGAATCAAGCCCTAGAACAATCACTCTTTGCCTGTCAAACCAATTGGTTTCTTTTGGAGGGTTGCAGTTAAGGACCGAGGAGCAAGCCCGCAAGTTTCAGAAGTCCTTGAAGGGCTATCGATGAAAGGGTTGTACAAAGCGCCAGAAGGATTTCGATGTACAAAGTGCCTCATAGGCAGTGAACGGATTCCATGCCCCGGCGCCCGACCTGCGCGTGGAGAAGATTTGCACTGCAAAGCTGTCGCTGGGTGCAACGGCATTTGTTTCTTTCTTTTTGTAGTCTTCTTCTGCCCAAAGATGTCAACATACTCCAACATTTTCTGAAGTTATCAAAGTCAAGTAGGTGATTCCCTCGAACCCAAGCTTTCGGCGGTTTTGCATTTGGTTTGATGGCAAGAGACCTTAGATCATATGACTCCCAAGCACGGTGACAGGACTTGCAAACTGCGCAGTACGAGGCTTGCTCCTCTCATAGGCTGAACGTATGATCGGTCAATATCACACGAAAGCTAGCATCAGCTAGCCCAACCCCCCCCCCCTAGCCTCAAGTGTATATGGTCCATTCGGGGTTTTGGACATTTTCAATTTTACTATGTCCTGTTGGGCAATGACTTTTCCTATATCCTCTTGGGAACGACTTTGGGACTGTGTTTTTTTTCTTTTTTCTTACCAGTAGGGTTCCCATGAGAGCCATGACCACAGATGGAGTTTGCCGACCATGCATGTGGCTTTCTTTGGTTCTCACTAGGGTTGGCCACAAGAAGACACAGCCATACATGCAGTCCCTGGTCTGAAGCCAATCTTTTGGAGCCTAAAGCTATGGCTTGGGTCAGGAAAACCGGTCGGCAGGGTTTCAGATCTTCATGACTTTGTGGACGTACATCATTTCGGCTCAAGCGCTCAGCGTTCAAAGCGCGTCAGGTTTTTCAGCCTTTGTGTCAAGACTCCAACTGACCAAGTCCCAGATAGAACTTTCTGGGAAGACTTCTTGAGTGGTAGACAAATTTGGACATGTCTCAGGATAACCTCGAATGGAAGTGGACCTTTGGGCACCTTCGAAACACGTTTGGAGCCCGAGTCAAAGTGATTGACTCGTTGACCCCTTTCTTTCTAAGAGCATTTCATCCACTTGGTTAGCGAACAAAACGAAGTGGACACTCGCGGGCTTCGCTCCCCCCTTTGCTTTGCGGGGAGCCGTTGCCATGAAGGATTCGCGGCCGGCTCAGAGTCTGGAACCCGCACAGGAAATGGTGATCCTTTCCCACATGGAAGTGGATGAGCGGGAGTTTTTCAGGGACATTGGTGCTCTCATGTTTCTTGGGTATGCTGTTCATCAACGATCAGCATCGTAACGTGATTTTCAGAGTGCAGGTTGAGATGTTGATCCACCGAGGCTCGTTGCATTTAGCAAGTGGTATGACCTGCAGATGAAGGCTGGGGGAGCCTTTTTCGTGATTGTGCGCTTACACTCACTTGCGCAAAGCTGACCTTTCTTGTGGCGTTCCTCTTGTTTGGGCCATTTTGGATCATGCCCCAAAACGGTTCAGACTTGATTTCCAGGTCCTTTGGACCCGAACCTGAGCGGCCATATACCATGAGATTTGTTGGCTGGATCCCAACAGAGCACCTTTGGGTACACACCGCAGATGGCTTTGTCAGTCAACCCCTGTTTGGTGGTTTGGATTGTTTGGGGATTTCAACCCTTGCTTGTTGAAACTGCAAGGGAGTTTAATGCTTTCGGCAACTCAGAGGGATAACGCCGTGCACTAGCAAGTTGCATTCCTTGGATCATCAAGTCCCGCGTGACAAGGCCAACTATCGTGTTCAGGCTTGGCCTTTAAGGCTCCTATGGTTTGAGGCTACCATTTCAGCGGAACCCAAAAGGAGAGCCCCTGTTTCTTTGGCCATGGCGGGTTTGTTCCAGCCCGGTCAGGCGGGGAACAACACAAAAGGCAAAACACGTTTGGTCTGCAATTGTAATTGTTATTCATATTCCTATTATATTTGCTCTCGTTTTTATTCAGCAAGTCCTCAACCGCGAGTTCAAAGTGCCAAGGCGTCGAAAAAACAACGTTTTGGCCAGATTCAACTTTTAAGCACCCCGAAAGGAAGCGAACATGTGCCTGGCGGTGGCTTGAATTTTGATGTGAAAGTCGGGGCTGTTCCCCTAGGTCCGTGACTTTGACACATGTAACATGGGGCCAGGTGACACAAACGCACCTGGAAATCTGCTGATGCCTGGGGATGACTCTTGCACACCCTGTACTTTCACTCAACTGTATCGTTGATGACAGGCGTTAGTGTTTTTGATTTGTGTTTTTGAGGCTACCCTTTTTTCACCTTGGTAACGGAAAACAACTGGAAAACCAGTTCGTTTTGTTTTCCATTGTGTATGGGTCAAAACTAGACCACCAACAAAAACGCAGAGTTTAGTCCTTGTTTCCATTTACCGATCGGGCAACCTATTTTGGGGGTACCCTTAGTTGGTGGTTTGGGCTGGTGATTTGGGGCCTGGTTCTAGCGGGTAGAATGGGACACCCCTTTAACCACCAGACCACACCCAATTTTTGACCCTAAAACCTTAAACCCTAAATTCCCTGAACCCTAAAACCCTGAAGCCCTAAAAAAAGCAAAACAAAAACACCGAACAACCTGAAACCCTAAAAACCTCCACAACCCGCCCCACGGATCGATCGCGAGGCGAGGCCTTTGGCGACCAAGGCCTTGACCTCCGCGCTGCTGGCGGCCTGCAGCAATGCCTGGAGCCAAGAAATCGAAAGTGGGTCTGTTAGGGTTTTTCCGTTTTTTTTTTTTTTTCTCCCCCGGGGTTTTGCCGGGTTTTCTGGGAATTGGTTTTCTGGGATTTTGTGGGGTTTTCCGGGGCTTGGTTTCCCAGGATTTTCTGAGGGTTTTCTGTGTCTGATCCACATTGTTTCTGGTGTTTTCTGGCTAGGGTTTTCTAAGGGTTTTGTCGGGTTTTCTGGGGTTTTCTGAATACGATCCACTTTGGGTTTTTTTTGCCACAAATGTTCGGTTCATTTCATGAAGACTCATGACCATGGGACGTGTCATGGCCTTGGGATGTGCCCTAAGGGCCTCACCGTTTCTCTGGCATTTTTGGGAACTTGTGGAGACACATTTTCAGGCCCTGTACAAGCGCCCAAATCTGCAAGCCCACATTTGTTTACTTTTTTCTGTCAGGGTATGTGACCAGCAAAACCCGGAAAGTTGGTGGTCTAGATGGGTGGGACTTGATCCTTGCTTCCATGTGAACTTGCGCGGGAATGGAACTCACTTTGGGTATGCGGAATCTCCTGGGTGGTTTTCCTTTTCGTTGCCACCAAAAGGGCACCAACAGGGCACCAACTTCCGGTGCCCAGAAAGGGATTTTGGAGCATGGACACCTGCCCATGATCGAAAGGGCACACCATAGAAGAATATGGACGTTCTGACAAACCAAGCACACCCACATCTTTCTCTTCTTGCTCCTGTTGCCCAGGTTTGAAATTCATTTCGCCCGTCCCTCGTCCTAAACGAACCATGGACGAATCTGGAACGTGGTATTCCGTGGTGGGTGCAACCCAGCTAATCAATGGCGTTGTAGGTCAGCTGGGTCGAACATAGGATGGTTTCAGTGGGTTAATTTGTTTCTAGTGATTCTAACAGTGCCATCTTTTTGTCCCTACAGAACCCTTTCTTGTAACTATGTATACATGCATATGTGGAATTGTTTGCCGGTCTTCTTGCGTGGCTTGCCTGACACGAGAAAGAAGGACATCGGTTGCCGCAATTGGATATCTGCAACCGGCTCTTGCAGGAGCGATACCATGACGATGGTGTGTTTCTGCCCGACAGGATCACCCTGGGTAGCTGTTGTTTCGCAGCAAGGCAAGCCACAATGCCAGGCAGGATGCAAAAGATGATTCTTCAGAGTCCTGCAGTGACAAGGAGAGTTGTCAAGAGAGGCCTTTCCAACGCAGCTGTTGGTCTGGCCTTGCTCCAGGGCCACAACGCGCACCGAGTGCTGGATGTTTTTCAAAACTCCCCTCCAGATATGCTGGTTGTTTTCAGAGCGAGGTGTGCAGTCCATCAGTCGCAAGGACCGCTGATTTGGGGCTGGAAAGAGCTGCCATCAGTCAAGCAGCCCACCCGTCCTGCTGAAACACCTGGACTACCCTCCCCACGTTGCGATGGCCGATTTGTTCCTGTGTCGTCAACCCTGCCCTGTGGGGCGAGGAGCTCGGGCTCCGAATATCAGCTTACCACCTTCAAATCTGCGTTTCCAAGTGGTGTTTGCGGTTTTTCACTTGAGTGGCATACACACAAAAGGGGAATCAGCACATGCGTCTTTGGATCCTCACGCGAGTTTCTCTGCGCCCCAAAGGTGGCTTAACGAGTTTGGTCCGGGTATCAGCCCCATTCGCAGGTTGCGTTTTGAGGCGTTTTTGTTGGCACCTACATGAGGCTTTTGCGCCAACAGCAGTCTTGGCCTCTGCACCTCCAGGACCTGTACCTGCCAACCTCCCTAGACTCGACACAGCCAAATTCAATCCATTCCCTCGCTGACCCGGGTGTCCAGCTATAAAAACAAAGAACCCCTTGGATGGTGAACGTCCTTCTGGTTCGTCCCAAGCGATGCTTTGAGGGCCCAAAAGCTCCGGCGCATTCGCGCTCAGGCCATAATTTTTGGGGAAGAATGTGTTCCTTTTTTTTTTGCCAAGCTATCCGGTGAAAGACTCCTTTTCTTGGGTTGATGGTGTTGTTCATGAGCCGCCTTGCCTGTTTAATTAGCTGCCCAACTGAACCCACTGCTTTCTTGGGTTGAACTTGTCAACGATGGATTCTGAGGCATCCCAACCCGGCAACCCTCGAATGCCGAGGTTGTGGCTCAGATCATACAGTGGCTTGGCTATAGATCGCCAGGTTCGCCGGTCGCTTCGAATAGTTGGGGTAGCAGAGGTGCCAGGATTTCTTTGACCTCTTCTCTATTGGAGTTGCCGAGAATAGAGCAACAAAAGCAAGGAAGAAGTAGATATAGATAACCGATCCGCGAATAATTGAAGACTATTTTTTGCTGGCGAATCAGAAAGTGATAGCAGGCAATGGATTATTAAGATAGATGTATCAGAAGAACGAGGCTTAGAGAGATACTTTGAAGGACAAAGTCAAGACTGTTACGAGTATACGATATGAGAAATGATGAACTCTCTAAAGCCCACCTATTGGTCCAGGAATTAAGTGCTTCTTAAGCTTTCCAGATGATGTTAATGATCTACATATCTTCTATGAAATGCAAATTGGAGGATCCTTGCCTAAATCAGGTGCGAGATCGCTGCTGATTTGGGATGTATCTGAGTTGAAGCCAGTTCTTTGCGTTGCCCTTCGGAATGGAAGGGCGGTGACCCTGGCACACATGCTCGGTTCATTTCATGAAGACTTATGACCATGGGACGTGTCCGGGCCTTGGGATGTGCCCTAAGGGCCTCACCGTTTCTATGGCATTTTTGGGAACTTGTGGAGACACATTTTCAGGCCCTGTACAAGCGCCCAAATCTGCAAGCCCACATTTGTTTACTTTTTTCTGTCAGGGTATAGCCGCCCTCCCATTCTCCACTTCCATGATTTCGTTCTGTTGATCCTCAGGGTTCCGGGATCCATGACATAGTTCGGTTGGACGCGTGCGGGTTTCTTGGGAATGACCTGAACCGGGTTCGGTTTTGACGGCCCTGACCATTTCCTGTTTTGGACGTCTTTCATGGCAGCTTCTGGAGCCGATTTTTAGGGGAAGGTGGCCCTGTGATCCTCACCGGCGCACCGGTTTCTGAGTTCGGCTTTGGGTATGCCATTATTCCATCGGTACCAACTGTCAGCTTGGACCGCGCAATGTCCACTCGGACCTCAGGCGCAAAGCAGCCTGGCGAGAAGTGCTCAGCTTCTCCATGCAGGAGCGATGTCGGAGCGAAGGAAGCTGGATCGTTCATGGAAGCGAAATCTCCCTGGTACGGCTCTCCCCTAACCCAGAACAGAGGATCCCACAAATCAGTCTCTCAAAACGCATCAGTTTTTGGGGAGTAAATTGGACAGAAGGCGCAGTCTCCATGTGTTTCCAACGGACCAACAGCGCTTCACCAAGTCCAAAGACGGACGGCAGTCCAGGATGGGTGGGCAAAAAACATCAAAACCGGGTGGCCAAGACATCCAGTATTGGCTGGAAATCCAACCCCCAACCAACTCCCTCCCTCCCAAATCAAATCACACATGCCTTGCGAAAGACCCACATGGACTACACAAACACAAATACAGAGCATGGTTCCTCCAAGAAGACACGCTTTGAACCTTCCGCTAAATGACTACCTTTGCTGGCTAAGAGGCAACAGGGTGTGCCTTTTCAAGTCAGGGTTTCAAGATTCATTTATTGGGAACCATGTTGTGCCAACTCCGAAATTCCTGAATTTGTTTCTTCGACCGCCTTTCCTTTTCGGTGGATGAGTAAAACAAACTCACCGACCTTTCCCAAAGCACGGGCGGTCTGTTCTCTTTGGTTGCATTGTTTTTTCGAGGTGTGCGAGAGGGTTTGCTCGCAGTTAAACTGTCATGGCTCAGAGAGGGGCTTGGGGTTGGCCATGAACCGCTGGACAACCACCAATGAAGGGGTTCCTAAACTCAATCAAGACCCTGAAAAGTTGCGACCATGACACATGTGAGCCACTGACAAGATTGTCCGGGAAAAGCGTCGTTACCCAAAGGCAATCGCGCGGCTCTGTATTGGACGGTCTCCCAGAGTGTTTTGAGCCCGCGTGCAAAATCCACAGTCACCCGAGCCTACATCTCCTGGCCCACGGGGAAACTCGAGTTGCATGGCACGATCACCATCGCCGGAATGATGCCGAACAAGCGGCTGATGGAGGTCGCCTCGTGGCGGCCTAGGCTGACGCTCCCTAAAGCCCGCTTGCAAATACATAGCGCAGCTGGACCTATGTTTTGCTGCACAAACGGTGCACCGCGATGCGTAGCTTCATGGCTGCTAGCTCTTGCTCCGCAAGTGTTTGAGCTGCGCGCAGGGCAGTCAAAGCCAAGCAGGCAGCGGTCTTGGAAGCAAGCCCGCTTCAGAAACTGATCCGCAAGATGTAGTTCCGCGCAAGCGGCTTTGCTCGCGCGCGGAGAGCGTACGCAGGCAGCGAGTTGAGTTTGCGCAAGGATTGGCTTTGGCTGCAAGCGAAGCCTGGGCCACGCAGCCAAATGTTGCCTTGCAATCCACAGCCTGGGCCAGCTGCCAGACAAAGCAGCTTCGACCAGCTTCGACAAAACGGTGCGTTTTTTGGTGCCCAGCCTCGACAACTCCGTTTGTTTTTGCAGCATCACGTTGCGCGATGGTTTGCAGAAGGCTCCCATCAGCACCCCCAGCATTGCCCGCACTGTCAAAAACGCGCAGTATTTCTTTTGGTGGCTCCTTCAACCCAAGATGACAACCCCCCCTCTTCCCACAACAAGCGCAAAGCAAACAACCCCCCCCCAGAACAGCACCCACAACCCCCGCTCCCCCCTGCCCCCTCACCACGTGAAACCTCGAGGCGTTGCCGCCATACTCGCACTTCTGGTTCCAGCTCTTGGAGAACCAGCTCGGGCCGGGAGCCCAGAGGAAGCCAGCCGAAGCGGGCTTGAGGTTTGCAAGGTCCCGGGTGTTTTCGGTGGCTTTTTTGTTGGGCGGTTTTGATCGTGCCATTTGGTTGGGAAAGTGATTGGGAATGTTTTTTTTGCGGGGCCCGCTTATGGATGGATTTCGGGGGCTCGGCCGCGTGTGCGCGTGTTTCCATGTTCTATCCGGGCGCACATGCATAGCCAAAGCCTCCCCACACTAGAGTGCATCCTTGCCCAAATAGCCCTGGAATGGGGGGAATTTCCACCAGGAGCATTGTAGGTTGGGGTGTTGTGGAAGCCCGCCCAATGAACACGAGAACACCTTCCATTCACATTTGGGGGCCATTCAGCTGGAAGGCCCCGTGCCAGTGGACAACCTGAGGGTCGTTGTTGTAGATTCCATGGAAAGAATGGGAGCCGTACATCCAGAAGCCCTGAGATGGTTCTGGTAGACTCCTGAACTGTACGGTTCGAATGTGGAATCCATTTGTGGATCCTCCGCTTTAGATGATGAACAGAGTACAACAGTATTAATTTAGGAAGAGAACACAGAGCAGGAACACCTGACTTTCCAACAGCGACATAGCCCAAAGAAAGCAGGCAATTTGAGTAGGTAAGGGTTCAACGTATCTCTGGGTACTCAAGTATACAGCAAATAGATCAATCTAGAAAAGGTGACAGGAGTCTTCCCCTGCCCATGCTTGGTCACGACTGGGGTTGGTGGTTGGTATGAGCGTGAATGAAGGAAGATGAGTCGATGTACCTGTAGAGGTACCAAACCCTTCAAAAAGGACACCGGTGCATCACCGAACCTACATTTTTCCGCCACTATATCAAAGATTTCCACAAAAACCATTCCCAACGCAGATCCTTTTAAAATCCTTCAATGCATACGATATTTATTTTACCTCCACCGACCATGCTTTGCTTGTAAAAACTGGGTCATCTCCCTCTCTTCGCTCGGTTTATGAGTGACCAATGACCGCGAGACGAGCGGGAAGAAAGGGAACGGGGGAAAGAACAGATTGGGAATGGGATGAGGTGAGGACAGAGATCCCATTCACTTCCCGTTCCTTTCACTCGCTAATCACTCACTTCTTCCTGTTGTCCCTCGCTCCCTTTGTTCGCGAGTAAAAAGGATATAGAAGTGTGTGAGTGAACGGAGACAGACGAAGGCAGGCGAAGGAAGAGACTCACCCATTGCTTCGTTCTCTTTGTCTCGTCATCCCGCTTCCCCACTGCTTGGAAGCGTCTGTAAGCTTGGGACACAAGACCCTGAGAACTTGGATGAAGAAGTCAAGCCTTTGGTAACAGCCTGGCGTTAATTGACTTCTGGTGACCTGTGGCGAACCAATTCCTTTGAATCCAGGCCGGGCAGAGCCGCCCTGAAGACGGTGCTGGATCAGTTGCTCTTCCGGCCGGTGATGCTGTGGTACTGCTTCGCCCCTTGGATTCACTTGTTTGAGGCTCGGCACCCTTGTCGGGGCGCACCCCTGTTGGGCGCGGCCAAGGCGGCCATTTTGGAGGTTCAGATGGGGGAACCCACGTGGCTTCCGTAGCCTTCAGGCTCATTCCCAAAACCCCGAAATCGAATCGAGTCAGCCAGCCTCTTTGGGCGTGTCATTCTTTGAGGGTGGGTTGTTTGAGAGCAAAACCAAGGGGAAGTCATCCTTCTTCAACGTTCCCGCATGTTGACACGATGCTGCCAGGTTTTAGTACATCCAGGAACATTTGGAGACTGCACTTTCAAAATCGTTGAACTTTCTACCTTGGCTAAAACTTGGCTTTCCTTCATTCTGATGGCAGGAACTCTTTGCTGAATGCAACTCAAGGTTCAGGGGATTAGCTGAAAAGAACACGTTTGGGTGTTTCTCAGAATGCGTGTTCCCATAGCATGCCTGCTTTTCCTTTTGGTTTCCTTGTATATTAGCGTCGAAGCGCCAATTGAGAAATTCCCGTTTGTTTGACTCCTTTTGGCCTTGCAGCTGACCCGAATTCGGCTCTCGGAGCCGACTTGGTTCTCCCAAATCCTTGCTTGGCATTTTGCGTTCCCATCCAGTTCGCGGAAAAAAGACAAGAACCACACCCGTTTGTTTTTGTGCATGTTTGTCTTTTGGGGGCTTACATTGTCAAACCTACCAAAACAAAGCTTCAGCACACGCAAGTTGAAGGTTTAGGTATCGGAAGTCACGAAGGTTTGCGGGTGATTGCCAGACGAAAGCATGACACCAGCTGCTTGGTGTCGTTTGTTGGCGCCCATTTTGGGGGTCGTTGAAAGGACTGGGTTCTACTTTACAAACACACCTGGTCGCCTTCTTGGATTCCAGTTTTTGAAGCCTGTTCATCTCGAGGCCAAAGGAAGGTGTAAGGCTAAATCTCCACACCGATCTAAACCGCCAATTTCAGGCACATGCAAAAAAAGCACATGCCGTAGCTTTGAAGGTGCGTGGCGATGGGTCCGCCCAACGGCTCGTGGATTTGGCTCTCGTGAGAGCTCGCCTTGGCGTTTTTCTTGAGGTCACCAGTGGACTTCTGAGCGGAAAGCGCTGGACTGAGGCTGGAATCGCGAGAATGGGTGGCTGAAGCATTTCTCCCGGAGTTGTTCAGTTGCCTTCCGAAAAAAGTATTTCCTCAGTTGAAAGAGGGGTCCCAAGGATTCCGGAGTTCGGGGGGTTGTTGGGGATACCATCTGGGCCTATTTCCTCTCCAACTGCGATGACAAGCCGCCAATCCTGGGATTTGGGAGGGTGGGGCAGGTGAGAGGTTTTCGCGGTTCCGGGAACCAATTTCAGCCACTCTTCGGGATACTTCTTTTGTATTTTGCCAATTGGAGTTGGTCTTTTTCCCAACTGTATTTTTAAGAAGCGCGGTCCGGTTTCGAGTTTCGGGGTCCCAAGTTTTGGGATCCGGTCGGATTGGCGCGCTTTTTTTGGGTGATTTGAGGACGGTTGCGAGAAGGAACCAGAACAAATTCCCTGGAGGAACAGCAAGCTTGTAGCCTGGGGTAGTATCTGGGGAAGCGCAAAGGTTAGTGAAACAGCTGTTTCAACATTTGGGCGTGTCCTAAAAACCCGAACCCCCAAAAAAATAAAAAGCAATCCAAGAGTTTCCTGTTGGTGTCTCTGAAAAACCCACTCCGAACGTGGTACCCTCCCAAAAAACATACCCATTTTAACGCAAACGCTGGTGCCCATGCAAGCGAGACCAACGGAAGTTTTCCGAAACGTCTTTTTGTGAATGGCGGAAAGAGGCTCCCTGATCAGCTACCAGGTGAAAGAAAACATCCGCTGCAACTTCGCCAAGGACGGGCTCTCAAGCTTCGCATCGTGTGGATGGGTTTAAAGAGACTCCAAAAGGACACAGGAGCCCATTTTTGGGGCACCCCAATTACCCCACCCAGCTTTGGGTCGACAATTCCTCAACGGGGGGGCCTTGCCAGGGATGCCCCCACAGGGTCTGCATTTTTCAACCGGTCGTTACTCAGTTCGCCTGAGTCAAGTGTAGGTACCCAGGGTCCCTTCAGGTTGCATTTTGGGTTCTCTAAATTTAGTTTTGTTTTCCATTTGATCTCAGATACTGTTGATGGAAGAAATCTTGCATGAATTTACAAGACTACATGTTTGCCACCCCGCGCCCCCTACTTAACATTGAGTTGCGACGAGCAAAACCGCTCATAGGTTGTAATGGCCTAAATCTTGCATGACCCAACCCAACTTGGCCAAACTGAGCACCAATGTTAAGTAGGGGGCGCGGGGCAAGTCGTAACGAGATGGCATGTATCTGTTTCAAAAGAGATGCAAGATTTCTTCCATCCACCGTATGTCGATGACACTTCAATGGACCATCAAATCTCCGTGAACATTTTTGGCAGTTTCGAGCAATGCAACGGTTCCTTCCTGGGCTTGCATGGAGAGTTTGAAAGTCAGTCTATTGGACCTCTGCTAAAGGGCATTTAAACCTGGTCGTTCACCAATGTCGCGCGAAATGCAGGGCGTCCCTCGGGGCACCTTGACCGGTTTTGGCCGAACTGCTACTATGGACGAAATTCTGCACCAGCTGGGATTTGGGGGTTCATCAACCCCCCCTCCCACTGGTTCGTTGCGAATCAATTCTTGTCCATCCACAGTAAGGGTTTTTACAGGTTCCTCGGGCTTTTGCAGGTTTTATGGGTTCCTGAAAACTGACGGCTTTTTCATGAGGGTCCTAATTTGCTTGTTTGATAGCAGGGAATGAGACATAGAACGACCACCGAGCAAACCTATCCATTTCCGATTTGGTTTCCTTTCGGGAATCCCCACCGGTTCCCTCCCCCAACTTCAGGTCATTCCCCTCGAGAATTCCACGACCTGAGTTAACGAAAAGATCTGAGAGACGGGGCGAGTTCACTCTCCAGTCACAGCTTTCAACCGGCCCCAACAGAGATCCAGCTGAGTGATGTGTGAAGGTAAGGAAAGGGCAAGGGTCCCTAGACCTTGGGGTTCGCCAGGTCGTGGTCAACTCCTGGAAGGTTTGGCCTGCGGCGATGTGGCTCACCCAGAAGTGACCCAAGCGGTTTTCCGTCGTGTTTTGGGTGAAAAGGTGTGGGTTTCCCATTTGGCTTTCCCTGAAGGAACCAGCCAGAAAAGGGTAGGCTCAACAAAAGAAGATTCTCGTTTGGAGAAGTCGACCGGGATGAAACATTATGATCACGGGGCAACTTGGTTCAAAGATTCCTCTCAAGTGTGGGAGGATACATGTCCTCTCAGCAACAATCAGAACTGCGCACCATAAGATTTCGGAAATCCGCCGGCGCGAGGATTTCACTGTGACTCCTAGGACCCTGAGCAAGTCAGATTCCCATAGCTTGCAAAGGACTATCATCTGTGTAGCATCCTTTGCTTGGGTCACCCAAATGCTTTTCTGCAGTAGAGTCTAAGGGAGGGACATGGGTGACTCCCTAAATATCCTCACCAGCGAACTCACTCAATTTCCCACTTCCAGCAATTTTGACCGCTCACATGGGTTTGGGTATACCAGTGGACCCTTTTTCGAAGTCTTGAGTGCCAGGTACGTTCCGCCGCTCTACCAGCCTTCGACTCAGACTCCGCGCCCTGTTTTGTGTTGTCCAGGCGAAGCTTCACAGATTCCCTTTCGCCCAGTGAGCGATTTGCCCAAGAATAAGCCGCTGCAAGGCCTTTTTCGCGTCACTTGCAGTAAACAGGCCACTTGCAGCAAGACGCAGAAACACCAGAAGTTATAGAAAGCAACAGTTTGACTGTTGTCGCCAGCCCTTGTTCTGCACAAGAGCCTAGGGCGACATGTGGGAAGCCTGGGTGCGTGACTCCTCTTAGGCGAAAGTGAAATTATGAAGCCCCACTTTGGTCTTGCCTTGATTTGTCGCAGGTCCACGTCCACAGACCTGCTCTCCTTCTTTTGGGATGCGGACGCCTCAGCCGGGATGGTGCTAGCCCCAAGCTTTTGGGTCTCGATTCAACATTCAAATGACAAACTGACTTGTTGCGGTGGATGGTCAGTTTGACAGTCTGAAAGGAAAAAGTATAGGCGTCTTTTCGGACGAATCCAGGGGTTCCACTGGTGTTCTGAAGACTGAAACTGAAACTGGAATCCAGCTATATCCAAACCAAAGGACACCCTATGCCAGAGATGAGACAGCCTCCCGACAGAATAAAACAACTACTTTCACCTTGTGCCCCTCTATTTACTATTTTTTGGGGAGCTAAATGGAAGCCCGCCATTTTTTGGGTCACTCTTCCCATAGTCTTAAGTTTGCGACGTGCCCGAGTGCAAACGTGATTTGTTCATAAGGGGTCTACCTCGTTCTTGGATGCGTCGACCGGACTCGCCTTTCAGCTTTCGGAACAAAAAGGTTGCCCTATTTCGCAAGTTGTTTTTGGTTCACGAATGCTCCCGCAGCCCAAACAATGCACTTCAAGAGTGCCCTCTTGTGGAAAACACGAGTTGGTCTGCCTCGCGCCGTTCCGGAACGCTCTGGCCGGCGTGTAGGGAAGACTTTTGGTAAATGCCGTTTCGGTTCAACTCGCTCTTGGCAGGCTTAGTCTGTCTCGCCCGGTCTTTTCCAACGCTTCCACGTTGGGTTTCTGAGCCAGTTTAGCTAGGTCACGTAAACTTCGGGGTGTCAGACTGGCGATCGGATAGATGCGGGGGAGGACTTGGGGAGAAGTGTTTCACGAAACACGGCCAGTGGGTGGCTCTATCGAAGTTGTATTGCAAGCTGTCGAAGGGCAATCGACAGGAACCCCATGTCAAAGGATCGCATCGACCGCGAGGTCTACGAGAGCTTGGCAGTGGCAGGCTGAGCAGCGACATACACCCAAAATGGTGGGCCGAATATTTCCTGGTTGAAACCCCTGTTTGTACCAACTGGATCGATATGGACCTAGCCCCTCGGTGTTTTGTGTCCTTGTCACAAACAAAATGGGAGTTTGCACCCAAGCATAGATTTCGACCAATTGAATGTATCCTTCCGGAACCCCGGTGCGGGGCATTGGTGATAGCCGGCTTTCAATCGGCAACATTAGCTGCCTGCTCAGGGACCGAGTCCCTGAGCAAAAGCCCCGGGGCCCGTTTCAGCTTTCCAGTGGATTCTCGGCGCGGATTGAGGCTTGGGTGTGCCACCTACCCTGAATCAACTTAAAGTTAAGATCCCAAAGCATCGCGGAGACAGGGCGGGAGCTGTGGTTTGCCTTCATGGCGAATTCACCGCGTCAGCGCCCGTAGAACGAAACAAGAGCGAGAGGCGAGCGGATGCGGAGAGCAAAGGTGAGCTTCCGCGTGGATCTAAGTCCGGCAAGCTGGGAGCAGTTCTAAGTCCAGGAAGAACCTACCGAGAAAAAAGACACACAATCCTGCTCCCCTGGCCAGGATTGTGAGCAACGCTGCGGCAGTGATTCATTTCCCGGGTCCAAATGACCCAACATGATGGTTTGTTTTCATGTGGATATTGCCAAAGTCCAGATCAAAAACCTTTGGCTCCCCTGGTGCTTTTTGCATCATTTTCTGGACAAATTCTAGGGACGCCATGATGCAGGTTCTTTTTTGAAAGGCTCATCAGGGGCAGTCAAGCTGAAGTGGTCTGGGGCCCAGGCTGTTCCCGCTCTGCCGCGTGGCTTCCTGACGCGTTTTTTTGTTGTTGTTCTGTTTCTTCAGGTGTGTGGAGCCCGTCCCTAGAAGATCCAGAGGCTACAGCGATCGCTGGATGCTCCCTTGTTTCACCTCACACGCATCTATTAGAATCTATCAGGTTTGCCACAAATGGGCCCCTTTTGAGCCCAGGAATTGCAGGACAGTTTCTTGGCACCCGGCAACAATGTTTTGGCCCTCTTGCTGGATGCTGCGCTCCCGCTGCTCGCAAGCCATCACGGCCCAAAACAAATGCTGCCAATGGTCCAAGTCACGCGATGTTCACCGCCGACGTGGTAAGCGAAGGTGAGGAATGCGAGGCAGCGATGGCCACAACTTTGGCGAGATGGTACTGAGTTTGTGCTTGACTGGAGGTGGCATGCTTTGAACTTCTGCCAAAAAGGGTAGCTGCAAAACAACACTCATATGGTTGGCAACGCCAGGAATTAAAAGAAGGTCTGGACAAATTGAAGAAATACTCATCCTCCTTTTGGTTCTTTTCGGACAAATCAGGAATCACACAATTTTCCGTGCAGCTGGTACTTTGGGAGACACCAGCCAACTCAATCCAAAGCAACCAACCCCAACAAAAAGTCAACCAAGGGCAACCAACCGATCCACCAGCCAAGAACATCAGCTACAGCTACGACGACTGGGCGCAAAGTCGCCCTGAGAGTATGGCAAGGCTTAGGCGGGACGGCACCCTCCCATTGGCCAGCTTGGTCGGCCGGCTCATCTTGCAGGGCTTTCAGGCTTTCGGGGGCGATGAAATGACCCAAGCTGCGGTTTTTGGGCCTCATGTTTCGTAACCACACGTGATTCGCGAGCTAAAGCAATAAGCAACTTGCACTTGTGTTTTTGCCTGCTTGAACAGGACAAGCCAGAGGGCTTCAGAATGCTACCAGAACGCAACTCAATCACAGGGAGCCAGCTAGGCCGTCCGGAAAACAAAGACGGCCGAAGATCCTAAAAACGAAACGGAACAGAAAACATAGATTCAACTAAAGAGCACACCACATTATTCTCTCAAGGTGAGGACTGGTCGACTTTTTTGGCTTTCCCTGTGAACCAAGCCTCTATCTCCCAGTCCACACGTAAAACCGTTTATTTCCAGGTTTCACCTTCCCAATTGTTCAGGCATGCCAGAGTTCCTTGCTTCCCTTGAAGCTACCACTTGCGGGGACGATGTTTCCTCCATGCAGAGTGATGTTGACTGGTGTCCAAACCAGCCCTTGTGGACTTTTGGGTGACTGGAAGCAAAGGGCAGAGACCGCAGGCGATGTTTACGCCTGGCCTTTGCCCTGCTGGTGGCTTGGCAAAGCAGGTTGTGCAAGCATCCACCGCTGTATGGTTGATTTTTGAATGGAATTCCAGATGGGTTCTCAAAATTGCAGGACCCCCCATTTTTGTTTTCAAAACCAAAAGAAGACCCTTAAGAAAGACACATACCGAACTGATTGGGCCACCCCCCCTTCAAGTTGGACATGTTTCGGCAAAACAGAATGAGCTCGCGGATCTCATGATACCTTGAAAATAACCTCACAGAACGACCACGCCCACAGAACGACCGCCCCTAATTGCCATGACTTTGACCCTTACACCTCCAAGATCCATACCTGAAAATGCCCTCGAACATTGTCAAAAATCCGTGGTATCAGCGAAAGTGGAACCAAAAAGCAGCTGTCAATGAAAGGTCACTCACATTGATTTATTTTTCAGGCCGGTTTTCCCACCAAATTGGCTCGGTTCGACGTTGCCATGCGTGACGGCAATCTTCTTTGGTGACCTCTGAGGTGTTCAAGGGCCTGGCGCTGGCGGGGAGCCCCGGATCGGAAATTCAGACCGAAGGCTGCGCTTTGGTTTGTAGATGTGGAAACCATGCAGAGTGCTCTTTGTGGGGGGTTCCGTCTTGAAGCTTCATTTTTGAGGCGAAGGGAACCAAGCATTTTGGGATACCCCCAGTTTTGAGAGATGGCAAGGCATTAGGTGGGGATATGCAGGAGCCAACAAATGACAGCCCAAGCTCCTCCTTGCTAACCCTCTGTGGAGCTCCTAAGCAGCTCTCAGCTGTAAGATGAGAAATATACATATGGTGGTCACTTGAGAAGATGTACCATATCTTGAGACTCATTCCCCCGCCTCTTCAACAAGCCTTCCTCACGCTTGGCAACTTCGGTGCGTTTCCTGGAGGACTTTGTTTGGGAGGCTTTAGAGCTTTTTCAAATGTGAGTTGCTTCGTGCCAAAGTCTACACAAACCTTTGGAACTGCACATCCGATTGTCATGCTGCAGATGTCGGGTCTCAGTTTCCCCGCTGATTTAGCTGCCAACGCAGTTCTCGTTTTTTCCAGACCGCTTTTTGGGGTGCCGATGAACTCCCAGGGACCTCATTGCGAGTGTAAGGTAACCATTCCTAAGGACACCTGGACCAACGGCACCCGTGATCTTTCGAATGGTTTTCGTCTTCGAAGGCTCCGTTCTGAAATCGGTCCCGGCTCGGATTTTGCTCGCATCTTCAGGCTTTCATCGGCTGTGACCACTGCTCCAGACTTCCCTGTGCCGACAGAAAGCAAATGCAAACACGAACCCTTTGCTGGTTTGGATTGGTTTGGGGATTTGAACCCGTGGTTCTGGTAGAGGATAAATGGGAAACCACACCAGCACACCTCCAAACCACCCATCCAAGTCACCAACTCGTGGCAAGCTGCTATGTCTTTTTTCTTTTCCGACACTTAATTTTGACTTTTTGTTGGTATACGAAACCACCACCCTTCAGACTTTCTGACTTTCCTTGGCGTTTCAACTTAGGCGAGCCTGGCTCCCAGGCGCGCGGGTGAGAGCTCGAGGTGTCAGCCGTCCCGGCCATACGACGACTTTTTGGGACTTTTGGCGATTGGGATTCAGCGGAGGGATCGGAGGTGAAGTCCTCTTCGCTTCGTTCGGTACCCGCCAGATGTCGCTGCAAAGGGTTGTTTTTTGGGCTCCTTGCTAAGCTGCAGAGCGTTCCACAGAAACTCCGGTTTCATCTTCTGTTCAGGATTTCTGCATGAGTTGAACCCTGTGTTTCCTATTCGTTTGCCTGTCCTGATTGAGCATTTTTGGGCACACCCATATTGTCCTTGTTTGGGGCACCCCCTGGCACCCCCTTTTGGTTTTGAAGGATGAAGCAAGGATGGCAGGTTCAACGTTTGAACCGAGCCTTGAGCAAGCCACCAAAACCAATCTTCGAGGGTTTCGTTTGGCATGTTTTGCACAGTTGCAGTGGATGCCCTATGTTCAACCAAGGCAACACGAAGACCCATATGTTTTTTGCCCGTGACGTTCAATGTTTGTCTGGGTCGACTTGCAGTACTTAGGCATATCGGACTTTAAGAGGAACCCAGAGGTTCTGAGAGAGTCTTTCTGGGAGACTCCCGGGCCATCTGCATCGAAAGTCGGAACTGAGCGTTTTGGATCTAAATCGTATGTTTTGGGGCATATTTTTTTGGGGGGTGTTTTGTTTTTTAGCCAGAATTGGAGCGTATTTTGTTCGAGATATCGACGACCCTGGTTTGGACGTTGACACACCACATTTGAAGTCCCGGGACCCGAAAGATTCTCCGATTTCATCAGGCGGCCTGTTTTGCGCGGAGCGTATGGGCCCCTTGTGGCAACCATGGGCGTGATGGAGCAGGGGTACAGCCCTGCAAGAGGGTTCATGAGACCCTTGGTGTGGGTTCCACCCAGTCCCTTTACGATCATGACCGCCCGCAGTGTGACTCAGTTGACTCTGGATTGCCAAGTTGTCTTTGCTGGTCTATCTCCTTACCCAGACCTCATTTCTCAGTTTCAACTTTCTTTTGGACACCGGGGGGTCTTTCGAATGCACCAACACATGTGGGTGCTGTGTTTCCCAATTCCAAAGATCTGAGCTCGGCTGAAAACATCTGCCTTTTGGAAAGCTCAATTTTCAGGCGAGTTGCATTTCTACCAGTTTGAGCTACCCACAGGAGCTACCCAAAAGAAGCCTTGTCGAGCTTGCTTTGAGGAAACCACCAGGAAGGGGAGCGATGTTGTACGGGACCCCTTTCTACTTTTCTCCTTACCTGTTGGCAAACTTCAAACTCCGTGTTGGAGTATTTTGAGTTTAGCCCGAAACGGGTTTGAACATCCGCTGAGCAAAGCCCCCCCCTTCTCCCAGGAGTGCTCTGAGAGTAGCCGGAGCCAGATGCCCCGGAGAGAGATCGGGAAGTTCTTCAACGCTTTTCCACGAAGCCAGGTGATAGAAGGGATGTTTTTCTTGAGAATCCACAGGAGTGCCGGTACACCACTGAAAGGTGGCATGACTTTTTCTGTTGATACCTCCGTTTCACTCCAAGTGCCAACTCCGGGTGGCATGCCGAGCATGGAACCCAAGGTCGACCCTGGCAGGTCTCCGATGTTCGGGGCTCCGAACATCTCGTGCCACGAAGCCCTTTCAATGTTGTCCGGTTTCGAAACCATTTGATCCTCGGATTCGGCCCCTCAGGCTGCTGGGCTAGGGCTTTCCTATCCGCGAGACCCCAAGATGAGCAAAGCGCTGGGCCAAAGCTTTGGCTGGGAAAGACAGCAATAGGAAAGAAAAGGCCACGCCAACAGGACCGACAAAGTAGCGAAGATGGCTGCTCCACCATGTTTTCCAGCTGGGCCCATGATGAGATTTTCAGTTCTCAAGTTTACATCGGGGCTTCTGTTTCCCTTTGCTTAAACCACAATTTGGAGGGGAATTTTGCAGGTGCCGCGTTAATGGGGATACCTTGGTTGTCGTGGTTTCCCTTGGTATCCGACGGATGGGCTTAGGATAAGGCCTCCCTCCCATTTTGAGCACCCCAGTTTGGTTCCTCTTTGGCGTCGAAACGTTTTTGTTTGTTTTCAGCAGTTTGGAGGTCGCAAAAACTGGCCGTGGCCAAACCCATTGTACTCTAGGATGCTTGCACCGTTTCGGCCAGAACACACACAGCTCCATTCAAGTCCGAGCTCTTCACATGTTCCATTATTTCCGAGCCAACCATGAAGCTGATCCAATTTGTATCTCAGTTTTTCAGTGTCACCTTTTTTGCCCCTTTTTGTTGTGGCTGCCCCGCTAAGACCCCAAAAAAGGGTTCCCTTGTCTTTCCAGGGTCACTGAACTGAGGTAGTTTCAGGTTGCGCCGTTGCTGTCGTTCGGTTTGGATGCCGAGGTCCTCCTCTTTGCCAGCGAAGCCGCGCGGGCGGAGAAGGATCTGGGCTACGAGCAGATGGATCGCCTGAAAGGGCGGGGCGGTTGGGTGGGGGTCTGGGTACCAGGTTTTGGGTCGGACTGGGGGGGTGGACGGTTTCTGTTCTGGTGGAAGATCTTGTGTCTTTTTTTGGGGTTGGGGCGTTTGGGTTTATGGTGGAAGGTCTACTTTGCAAGCAGAACCTTCTTTACGTCACCGTTTTTTAGGGTTTGCAGCTGTGAGTGGAGTTGTGTTGGGCATTGGAGATTAAAATCATCCGAAGCTATGTGGAGCAAGGGTTGGACAGTCATCGCAGTGTGCTACGAGTTTGATTGACTTTCACTTGTCAGGCTCTTCAATAAGAGGCAACCCGTGATTGGCTTGATTGCGGAATCTTGCTGTATGTGAATTGCTGGCTGGCACGCGTTCCGCATCATATTCAACGACAAGGGCCTAAATATTTGTTGAAGTATGCTCTCACAATCATTGCCTAAGTTTGGTTCGAAGTACCCCTCCCCATGCGGAGCGCAAGGCGCAGGTCCGGTAAAAGAAGCATTTGAAACAGATGGCAAATTCTCCCCCCCCCCCCCCCTCAGCAAGCATGGCTCGGTGAGCTCTGCAACCCCTCCCCCAAGGTTTGCGCGTTATGTTTGTCGGTGGCATCAGATGGCACCTAGATGCGCCTTGCAAAACTTCGGTGGTGGACATGTCGAGTTTTGGAGGGAATCCGCTTTCTCTGACTCGGGGGAAGCCGCTTTGACGTGACATCTGCTCACTGGTCCCAAAGCCGACTGATCTCCAACTCCAACGTTTTGGTTTTGGTTTCCCTTTCCCTATCAAACAGATTGCATAGCTTTGGTCAACGACCAATTCGCTTATTTGGCCAGGTCAATCGGAAGGGGCTCATCATGGATGATTTCTTTCTCTGCAAACTTGTTTGTGGTACATGGGATCCAAACCAAGGATCAATTCTCACATTAATGAGCTGCACATGGTGTTGTGGCTATGGCTATGTGTGCCACGGTCAAACCTTGCCTTTTCTCTCTTTGGACCTGGGCTGGTGTTTATCCCTCCCAACTGAACCCTAAACCATGTTTGTCTTGTATGTGCCATGTAAGGTGGCCCCAGGATCCTGCAGATCACCCTTGCAAAGGTGGGAACCCCCCCAGCCTGGCTCCTTTGGTTTGCTGGAATTGCTTTTTGGGAAAGGACGCAATGTCCCAAATCGATCCTTGGGAAGCACACACACAAGTCCGTTGGCTTCATGCAATCTTGATTCAATCAGAAATGCAACAGGATAGCAATTCAAAAAGGAATTCAAAAAGGCAAGGAAAATGGGTGTTCTTTTCGTTTGTTTTGGCAGAAATTGGATGGCCCTGGTTGACCTGGTTGTTTCATAGTCTATTAGGGCAATCTATTTTCCCAAGAGGACGCCACCTATGGCAACGAATCGGCAGAAGGACATTTCATCTTGGAATGTTTGTTGTGGTAGGCCAGACTTGGTAAACAATTGCAATGACAGGTTTCGCTCGTTTGGATCTTGCATGGTGTCTGGAGATACATTTCATAAGCATGAAGCAGAAGTTGACACGGACGCAGGTCTTACTTCCAGGTTATTTTCTGGCAGCTGACACTTTTTGGGTTCAGTGGCAAGACCGGAGCCAGGGGCGGCGAGGCCTTGGGAAAGAAACGGACGAGGCCAGGCACCCCCACCGCCTCACACACACACACACCCGGGGTTGGTTGGCCGGGAAGCCAAAAGGAAACCGCAGTTTTGTGGGTGCTCAAACACCAAATTTGACCAGACTTTTTTGAATCATTGCTCTTTAAGAAGTCCAGCGCTGTTTCCTTCGATTGAGTTCTCGAAGCTGGATCGCTGAGGGCACAAGAATGGGGTTGTCCAAGGGCCTCCGCCGTTTCGGCCCTAAGGAAAACATAAGCACAATGGGCATCCAACCTTTGTTCGTTTTCGGAAGCGGTTTCACTTTAAGATGAAACACCCCCCAAACTTGGAGAATTCTTGAAGTTTTCATGGACCCCCACCTATCTTTTGGGTCGATCTTGTTGCAAAAGCAAAGGGCAAGCACCATCATCACCAGCGCAAAACAACAGGAACAGGGGAAACACCAAGAACAGCCATCGTCCGTGTGAACAGCGAGAGCGATTCGTGCTGGGACGTCTCCGCTTTTTCGCCGGCAGGATGCCCGGGTTCCGGGCTTTGCCGAGCGGCCTGCAGGCAGAGAGATTGGGGGACGGCCAAAAGTGAGACCTCGGTCCTGAATGCCACGGTGAAAGCAATCTGTGAACTTGAGGTAGGGATGGTCATGGACCCCATGGACAATCTAGACTGTCATGAGGATCCTACTCAGCGACGTGTGAGTGTGTATGCGCGCGCGTGAGTGTGTGTGTGTGTGTGTGTGTGTGTGTGTGTGTGTGTGTGTGAAGCGTCCTGGAGCACGGACGGAAATTCCACATTGCAGGGGGACTGGAGCCGATTTGCCTATCCAGTCCAATGAAGCTACGGCTTCGGTGGATACCGGATCTGATCAATCCGGCGTACCTGCCTATTTCCTGACCCTCTTTCCTGATTTCGGTGTCGATGTTGTGACCTGTTGATTTGCATTTGCATTCAAGCATTTTTACTGACTGCGTTTTGCATCTCGGCTAGTGAAGCCTCTCGAGATAAGTGTGTTTACCCACGGCCTGTCCGACATGGCGCTGTGGGCTGGACTCGCCATATGCGGGAGCCCCCTGCGAGGGGAAGACCGTTCAAGTGTTCAAGTTCAAGCTGCAGTTCAGTTCAGCGCGTTTGACCACGATCAAGGCTGCAGCTTGAGGTCTTAAGGTATTCCGCACCCTATGGTGCTCTGCTGGTTTCATGCGCCTGCACTGCCTGCACTGCCTGCCTTTGAAGCAAGGCTGCACCCACGAGGTTTCAGGCTCCTAAGCTTCATGCGCCAGTGACGAGTTGGTCATACACCAACTCTGCAATTCGTAGCGTTCATGGAAGCTTTCGTCTCGGATGAGTTCAGTTCAGATTCATCGGCATAGCCACATGAGGCACTTTCATGAGGCCACTTGACAGGCACCTCTGAGAACCCCTGTGTGCTCGCATGCATTTCTGTGAAAACTTTTGCCGTTGCCGCGGGGTTTTGGCGGTCCCCTGGTGGAATTCCCTCTGTTTGGTTTCGATTCGCAGGTTGAAGTTGGCTCGCATGCATTTGCACCTTTGACGCTTTTCTGCTGCAGGTGTGGTTTTGTTTTCACCCCTTTCCAACCTTCTCTCTCCCTTGCGAGATGGCTGGACACCAGCTCTATGACATGATGCATTCGCTCCTGCACAGCATTGCGACCGGCACCGCGTCCGGCTCACCAGGCAATTGTGGACCGAACTTGCAGCTGTCATCCCAGATGACGCAGCCCATGAACCTTGTACCGTCGCCCAACTCGCAGACGGCATCCTTCACACCTTTCCCCATGATGCCCTACGGCGGCCTCTCGAATTTTGGCAACCCGATGGCCATGATGCCCTACGGTGGCCCTCCCAATTACGGCAACTTGGCACCTGGCACCATCATGCCTTTTATGACTCAGAGCAGCATGCCATCTTCACTGCCCGAGCCTCAGCCGGCGCGCGCGCCCGAAGCTGCCGCTGCGGCTCCTGCCGCTACCTCCTCAACCAACCACCCTCCCCCGGACACTCGGCACCATCCCCACTCTCGCAGATCCCGTTCCCGCCACAGACAGCACCGACACTCCCACTCCCACACCAGCCACCATCGCAGGCACAACAAGTCGCACCGACGACACGACACCCGACGATCCCGCAGCTACAGCAGGTCACGTTCCCTTTCCCGACACTTCCACCACTCCCGACGTGCACACCACTCCACTGTCTCCCTCCGCTCCCGCTCCCCCCGACACAGGTCCCACCATCGACACTCCCCTGCACCCAGTGCCACGACTTCGCACCGACCCACTCACACTACTCATGATTCCACCTCCTGGCGCACTTCCGGGAAGGACTCCTGGCGCACTTCCGGGAAGGATCCCAACAAGTCTCAATGGTCCTCCTCACACTGGCGGAACCAATCGTGGGGATACCCACCACAGAACAAAAACCGCTGGGACATGCACCACCATGGCGCCAGCCACACCGGCCACCGAAACAACCAGGACAAACGATCGTCCTGGTCACTGCAGCACCATGGGCAGCAACCCCACCCCACTTCCCGCACCGGCCACCACAACACTAGCTTGCCCCCTCACCCAGCACCTGCGGCGGCCTTCACTTCCACTCCCCCTCCCCCTCCCCGACCCACGCCGGCTACTCCTCACCCTCCCCAACCCCCCTCCGACAACACCGGTGATTTGGATCCCCCTCCATCGGAGGCGGACATCAACGCCACCACCACTTCCGACAACCGGTGGCTTGATCTATGGAGAAACGTCATGGACACGGCCAAGACTGACCCGCTGCGAGTTCCCACGCCTAGGGAGTTGGGGGAGCTGGACCCGCTTCCAGCCTTGGACATCTCCAGGGTGGAACAGACTAAGGCCATTTTGATGGACCTGGACCCTGCCTTGCCACCTTCACATGCCGATCTCCTCGCGGAATGCTGGGAACTGCGAACCATGGACACGGATGATCCCATACCGTTCGATCCCAGCTTCTACCACCTCTTGGGACGGGAATCACACGGCATGGTGTTCGCAACCACTTGGTTTCCCCGACCTCATCCTTGGCCAGTTGCTGGCGGAGACCCGGAAGCTGGATCCGGCACGGCCTCCCATCACGCTGTCATGTATGTGCACGGCACCACCCCGGATCGAGTGCGCCGCATGTGCCATGAGAACATGATCCGACCCGCTGCTTGGAGGCCCGAGAACCATGACTACCCGAGCTTTGGATGCTACGCTCAGGCCACCCCCACGGCATGCACGCCCGACACGCTCGGCCAGCTCTTGCAGAACTTTACAATCGGAAAGTCTCAACTCGGCGCCATCGCTTTTGGGGAACTACGCTCCATCAATCAGCACAAAATCCTCGAATCCGGGGGAAGCCACGAGGATCAACACAACGTGCGGCGCCACTTCGCATGCCGCCGAGGCAAAAAGTGGTGCCTTCACTCCAAGTTTGCGATGCTGAGAGGCATCGCGCTGCAGCGCCCGGCTTAGCGGGGCGCAAGTGTACCATCTTCCACCCAACCAGGAAAAGAATTGGTGCACTGTTTGATCGCCTTTTTTCTTTGCTTTGCTGTTCTGCCTTTCTGCGACCGTTTTCTCGCCTTGTGACCTTACCCGCTTGATTCCGCTCACCAGCTTTTTGGTTCGAACATTTCCTTTTCCCCCGTGTTTTTCGCATGGCTTTCCAACCCCCTCGAGGTTTGGTTCCGATGCTCCAAAGGCAAAACTTACCACCGCAGCCTTCGCCCACGGCATCCCATCATCACGGCATCATGTACGGCAACAACATGGCCGGAAACCCGTGCGGGGCCCTGTCCGGACCTTCCTACGGATGCTCTTCCACGACATGGACACCGCCAACTACACATCCGACTCCCTGTCAGACCTACGGCCAACCTAGTCCCCATTTCCCACCACACCCCGGCCCTCGTCCTCCCTCCTTTGGCGGCTCTCTCCCCCCCCCTCCCGGCGGCAACCCCTTTCCCCCCCCTCCCCCCGGCAACTTCACCCGCCCTCCACCTTCCCCCTCCCCCTCCACCGCCTCGCAAACCAAACCTCCCCCGGCACTTCGACCCGTCCACTCAGTCCCAACACCAGCCGAGTTCAACCCTGGCGACGATCACTACGACACCACCCGCGTCGCGGGGTACGACCTGCCCAAGGTCATAACGCACACCGCGTTTACTCGGCAAATGGGCATCGAGGGACAAGACATCGCTCGCGTCCCCCTCCTCCACCTCATGCACGAACAGTGGAACAGTTGGTGGTTGCGTCACCTCGCCCACGGAGGCGAAGTCCGCATCGTTGTCGCAAAGTCGATGCCGGAATCAGTGTTTGCTGCTGGACTACTCAGCCAAATCCGACAACGGCACCTCGACCTGGACGCCCTCGCCCTCCATGTAGCCACGCAGGAGGGCGCCTCGACCACCAAACCAGCAGCCATGAAGCTACTCACCAGCAAGATCTTCGACTTCCTCATCTCCCTCCGACCCACCACTACGGCCGATCCGGCCTCCGCGGCCACCATACTCCAGCTTCAGCAACAGCTTGCTGACGCACACAACCAACTCGCCCAGCAGGCTTCATCCCCCCCTCTCCCCCCCACACCCACCTCATCCAACAAACGCCCAGCCGATCCATCTCAGGCCTCCCTCCTGGACTTCGGCATGAAGCGACCACGGTTGACTACACTTGACGCATCACCGCAGGACGGATCCCCCGCCCTACCCCTGCCCACTCGCATTGCAGACGACTCCCAACCCCCCCCGGCTCCCCCCACCCTCGGCGGCAACCCTCATGACCCCTCCACCCACGGCGGCACCCCGACCCCTCCCCATCCCCCCTCCCCACCCACTTGGAAGGAGCCCCGCGACTTGCTCCAACCACCTCCCCACGCTTGCCAATGGCTCACCAACAACTTCCCACCCGACCTTTCCGACACCAAAGTCCAGCGATGGATCACCTCCCAGAAAACCAGCAAAGAGAGCAAGCAAGTCCTAAAAAGCTGGTCCAACGACTGCGCAAAATGGGCAACCACACTGGACTCCGACACCAGAGCCCAACTCGAACGAGCCGCTGTGCTATGGGGCATCCCGGTGCGAACCCTATCAAAACTGGGGTCATCGGCCTTGGGCCGCATCCTGGCCGCTGCGAGTCACTTCTACCAGTGACTCTCAACAGCACACCGACAACGACGCACAGCCAGGCAGCACAAATTTTGGCAACACCACTGCTGCCAATTTCTCACTGTCCTCCGTTTCACTCTTCGGTTCTTCCCAACCGATGACGTCACCGCACGTCATTTTTGCTCCTGGCTACTCGCACAGCTTCAGCTACTTGACGTCTGCCATCTCTCCTGTGGTTCCGGCAGACTGAAAGCCCTGCTTACTCGACTTGGCCTGGACAACCCTGCTTCCGATTTCTCTTCTCAGCTTGTCCCTTCAGCGGTTTATCTGAGATTCACCAGCCATCCAAAGTGGCAGACCTTTTTCTACCTCGGAGCCACTCGCACCTCCCTCATGGCACGGGACCACAGCCGACTTCGCAAACTACTCCAAGTTCAGCGACATCATCTGGTCAATGCCGAACTAGCAGTCCGGTGGTGGGCACATTTTGACATTTTCCACCACTACACCTCGGTGCCCATTCACACTGCCGTTCCAGCAACGGACCTATTTGCCACTGAACAGTTCTACATCCAGGAACTGCAACCGTCTCTCAATTTTGGCTTCATCGAGAAACATTTCCGGCCACGCACGGGCTTCACACGCCAATTGGACTTCTCCCAATCCCGGCACATGGGCTTCGCCACCATCTGGCGAAAACGCCGCCGACTACGACTACCCATCGCCCTACAACAGGCCTTCCTGGCCAAGCGCATGAACAACCGCCTGGATTTGTGGCGATTTTTGGGCGATCTTGGCAGCAACACTCTACGACGATTTGATGCCATCCGTTACATACGGAGCAGAGACTTCCCACCCGCCGCTCTCTATGTCCTTCATCGCATAGCCACGCACCTGCCTGAACCACACCACCAGGCATGCCTTTCCGCCATTCGATCCAGTTTACGATTCCGGGGCCTCATTCCACCTGGCCCCTCCAGACCGATGCTTGCACCATTCCTCGCCCATCCTTCTTTCCGATCCCTGCTTTTAACCCAACTTCGCGGGTTTATTCGATCTACCACTCGCAGCGCTTTACCGTTTCACATGGCACAACCACGCATTGTCTTCAAGGCACATCGGAGACTCTCCAGTGCCTTGTTCTCACATCTCCAGGCAGCAAAAACCTGGAGTCTCGGTGAAACAACCTGCACATGCACCGACCTCGCCCAACAACACCCATCCCTCCCGAAGCATGACGGACACCTTCTTTTCTCCGGTGCAGACACCCATGAGCTGTTCGACTCCGACACTGCCCACATGCTATCCGGATCGATGCGCAACTCCTTCTTTCCTCCACGAGGGGTCTTGATGAGTCGCCTGACCCAGGCATTTCAACACTGGGCCAGGACCAACAACCTACCCGCGCTCGACCCATCAACCCTCACTACTATTGTCGAATTCCATTTCGACCTCCACCTTTCACACACATCACAGTACTTTCTTCACGCCCACGTCCAACGGGCTCTGCATACCCTGGAACCCCTTGTCCGCCATTGCGAAGACCATGCGGACTCCCGACTCATGATCTATTGTCCCGTTCTCTACGGCAAGATGTTGGAAGCCACTTTTGCGGACCCTGCCATCTTCGCCCCTCTGCCGGTCCCTGCCATTGAGATCCACCAACGACTACGAGAAACCATTGTCACCAGATTCCGCGGCCGCTATCCTTGGGCCGTGACCGGATTCGGAAGGCCAGCCAACGCCTACATCCTCCCGAAGAGGAAGAAGAACTGGACCACTGCCCGACCCATCATCAGTTTCATTGGCGCCTTCTTCCGACCCATGCTCGACGCTCTCGCCAAGCTCCTCCACAGCATGGTGGCCACGGCTTGCCCTGACGCGTTTTCAGGTGGCGACCTCTTTGAACTCATGCGGTCCTTGCACGAGTTTCTAAGCCTCGGCCACACCCATTTGGACTACCGAAACCAGGACCTTTCCGGTTTTTTCACCTCCATCGACAAAGACCGCTTCTTAGCAGCCTGGCGACTACTGCTAACCTGGTACCGACAACGACAACCACACTCCTCTACCACACACCTCACAGTGGACACACTTGACACCTCTGCCATCACCCGCGTCTACAACGGACGCCGTCGCCGACACAAACCCACACAACGCACCCTGTGGCTCGACGACATCCCCGAGATCATTCAGGCCACCCTTGACATGCAGATCTTCTCTGTCGGCCTTCGTTCATTCAGGCAAACACGTGGGGCACCGATGGGATCCCCCGCGTCCCCAGCTCTCTGTTTGATGGTGATCGCGGTCGCCGAACAATGTTGGACCAACACTCACACCACATCGGGACTTCGCTCCGTTGAAGATACTCTCCTGCTCCGCTACGTGGACAACAGACTCGTGATCGCAACCCCCAGGTGGCTCTCGACTCCGGCAGCCAACATACTGTGCGACGAACACTTCTATGGAGGAGACATCTTCCTGGAAACAGAAGCCGCCCTGGACTTCTTGGGGTTCCGACTGAACCTCACAAGCAGCACCATCTCCTTCATTCCCTCGCATGAGAAGCACAACATGCTCTCCGTCAAGTCAGCCGCACCAATGATACATAAGGAATCTGGATATTATTCCAGACGCACGCTGATCAGCCGAGTTTCCTTTCCTGAATTTCAGCGAGATCAGGATCTTGCAATGTTGAAGAGGTTGTACCTCCAACACGGTTTCACCTTACAAAGAGAAGAAAAACCGTCCTTTGCGAAACCACACTGGTTTTCTTCTCTGCCTTTGCACCCTGACAGATTTGACCTGATTTTCGTGCCGCAGCTGTTTGACTGTTTGACCAAAATCCGTTGCGAGCATGGATACCAACACAGCACGCCAGCTGCTCCAAGACTTCGAACTCATCCTTGGCATTGCCCAACAAGGCATCGCCACCATCCGCGAGTTCACTGAGAGTCCGACTGCCGAACTTGATTTGGCACCGGAGGCCACGCTCAACCCCGCCATTGAGGACCTCTTTGAGCCACCTCCTGATGCTCCAGATGAACACCTTCCCACTGATCATGACGAACAATTCCCTGATCATTGGGCTCCGCCCACCCCTCCTTCGTCTTCTCCCGGCGAAAAAGGAGCTCGCCGCGCACGTGATTTGGTCTCCTCACGATCTACGGCATCCAAAACCTGCTCGTGGACCAAGCGAAGCTACCACATCGACCAGGACTGATGCCTCTACTGAGGCCGAACCTGAAGCCTCGCAGCCTTGGACTGAGGGAGAGATTGAACTCCTCCGTTCCCTTAAGACCAATTCCAAAGCCAAGTATGTGTGGTCAGTCATCGCCACAAGACTTTCTCGCACAATTGATGCTTGCAAGACTCAATGGGCCTTGCACAAGTGATGTCGCCCCAGTTGGGGCTCCGTGTGTGTGAAGCGTCCTGGAGCACGGACGGAAATTCCACATTGCAGGGGGACTGGAGCCGATTTGCCTATCCAGTCCAATGAAGCTACGGCATTTCGGTGGATACCGGATCTGATCAATCCGGCGTACCTGCCTATTTCCTGACCCTCTTTCCTGATTCTTTTTGCGGTTTCTGTTTGTCGCTGTTGCTTCCTGTTCGGTGTCGATGTTGTGACCTGTTGATTTGCATTTGCATTCAAGCATTTTTACTGACTGCGTTTTGCATCTCGGCTAGTGAAGCCTCTCGAGATAAGTGTGTGTGTGTGTGTTTATACGATGTCCACACAAGTTGGAGGGGGTTGGCGACGCTTGCCTAGCTTATGGTTTGCCTCCTGGTTGGGGCTATTAGGGACATGTGGGCCGGTTCTCGCAACTGCTTTGAGAACTCTGTTGGTTTCCTCTTCAAAAACATCTCCGCCGGGTTGGTAGAACCACAGCCCATTGGTCTTCAGGCCCCTCCCGCCCCTTTGCTCTCCGCCGTGCTTGTGCCTATGCTAGCTTGGCTGCTTGCGACGACATCTTGTCCAGCTCCGTTCTTTTCTCAGACATGAAGTCTCCCATACGCCAAAAAAAAGCCTTCCTCTTCTGGATGGATCCTAGAAACGCCCCCTTGGGGGTTTGCAGTTTCTTTTTGTTCCAAGGACACCAAAGGGGCGAGCGAAGACTTAGATTTATGGGTCAGCTGTTCGAAGCCTCCTCATTCCCACAGGGAAACTCCTTCGAAAGAAGCCGAAGGAAACGTGGAGAAGGGATCCGGGTTTCGGGAGTGACTGAAGTTCGGACCCCTTTTTGGCATTTGAAGAGAAACCAAGAGGAGGACGAGCATTTTAGGAACCCGCTCGCTGCGGATGGACAAAGTCCTGGTAGGTGGATTTCCCCCTTATTGATAGGATTTCGTCCATCCCGAGCGGTGCGAATTCAGTCGATCTTGTCCATTTCTCTGGACACATGGGTATGGCTCAAAATCAAAGAGCTAGGGCAGCTAGGCACCGCACATGTCTTTCTTTCCAAGTTTCCAATGCCATTTTGGGGATGCCCCAACTTTTGGAAGCAGCCAGCCCCGCTTTTGGTTGAGGTGAAGGACGTGGACCCCGGCAGGCTCAGCGCTCGAGAGAGTGGGGCGTGAGTCTTCGCAAGGTGAATGCATCAACGTGGCTATGGCCAGGGCGATGTTTTCTGAAAACGAGGGGGGCATGTCAAGGATCCATGTAAGCCTGAGACTTTGCTGCGACTTTGGACACCGGAACAAGAACGCATCCCACATTTGAGACGCGAACTCTTCACGGGAGGTCCGTTATTTGCTTGCGGTATCCCTTTAACTAAAGGGTCCTCCATTCTGAGAATAACTCCAGGACATCTCCAAAGTACTTGAATAGGAACCCTTCGGGTCTCAAACGTCGCCCCTTCTTAGCATCCCGAAAAAAGACTACGGTTTGTGAAGGACTGATGTCACATGGAAGTCCTCTTCGTAGATACAGATGGTCATGCGCACAGAGAAAGCCTCGGGATCGGCTCGGGATCGGTTCCCTGGTTGGTCGGTTGGGTCTGAATCGGCAGCAGACATTTTTGTTTCTATTCGAGTGACCTAGGCAGTTGGTGGTGCATTCGCCGTTTTTTTTGTTGGTCGAGGATGCTGCCACTGGACCGGGTGTTTTTGTTGCTTAGGCGATCCTTGAGGTGTCTGGTGTCTATCAAAATTGAAAAAACAAAACACCCGGAGGTCGCGACCCTGAGCCCTCTGGTGTCCATCGAAATTGACAAGCACCCTACCACAGGTCATTGACATTGAAAAACACCCAGAAATTGAAATAGAACCTAAACCAAAAAACCTCAGGATCTCTTGATTCTTCTCAGGAGCGGGGCGCCAGAAGCGCAGCTGGGGGATGCGGTGGTCTTCACCTGGGAAGGCCAAAACCGAAAACCGCGCGCCTCTCGCGGACCGCGGAAGCGGCGCTGGGAGCCGTTTTTTCCGACGAAAGTGGATCGCTTCCCTGGTTCCTTCCATTTGCTTAGGAGCTTTTTCATTTTTCATTTTCCCCTGTTGGTTTCGAAGGGAATCTGTCACTGGACCTATTTTCATGATTTTTCCAGTGGACTTCAGCAAATGGATGTTTCCCTTCCAAGAACCGAGAACGAGCTGCTGAACACGTCGGACTCAGCCCAATGTCATTTCCCTCCATTTTGCAGGCAAGGGACGCCTTCACCTAGCGGGAGGGCTACCAGGGCCATTCATCCAGTTGGACACGTGTGGGATTTCGGAAATCGCCTTGGTGATAAAGTAGTGATGGGGATGGACATTTCTTACTTTGCTGCCACCATGCCCTTCTAGCTGAATGTGTGAACCCATGTGCGAACCGATATGAACACCCATTCATCGAGCACTTCATGGGAGATCTTTCGCAGGGCGTCCAAAGGGCGTCGAGCATGGCTACGGGTTTTGACTCAAAGAGAAGTTGAGACTCAAGAATCGGGAGCACTAGAGGGGTTTGAGGGGAAGCGCCCTGAGTTGGGTTGCAACCAGAAAATCCCAAGCCACCCCAAAGGGCCAAAAGAGGCTGGAGTCCCATTGATGAACTCCATGAGCTGTGGCAGGGGACATAAGACCCAAGGGAGGCTGCCCCGCCATTGAGTAATGGGAAGGGCAGACATACGATGCAAGGCCCTTCCCCATATGAACATGGTTCAAGCATAGAGAAGCCAGCCGCCGGTTTCCTGGGATCTGGGATCCGATGGAAGGCTTGGATTTTTGAGTCCACCTTTTCGAACGTGTATTTGCTTTCCCCACTAAACCATGAGTCTTCTACTGTTTGTCGGGGTAAACGCCGCGACTTGGGTCGGCCAAGTCTGCCCCTTTTGCTTCTGCACTCACTCCACATGGGGTGACATGGGAAACATAAAATGCGGGACATGGGGGGACATGGGGGGGCCGCGCGGTCCCCAAGGAAATATCTTGCCACTCAAAGCACGGGATTCATGCATCCAATGGCCTGGATTGGACACATTTTCTTTTGACAGGTGAAATCGTGCTGGTCTCCATTTATCAGGGCAACCCATTTTGGAGCTACGCGGCTACTCTCTTCTTGAATTAACATATGTGTTCTCCCCAAAGATCCCGTAGGCTACACCATCAACTACTTCGGGCGGCCCTTTGAGACGCGCACGCTGCAGAAGGCTTCGCGAGCGAGCGAGCCCGACAATGGACAAGTTGCCAACCGTTTTGAGGTCAGTTTTGCCGACTAGTGGTTTTTCGTGAAAGGTGGTCCCTGCAAAAGAAAGCGCGAAGGTGTTGCAAAGCTAAGGGGGATCAGTGGCCAGATGGTTTTTGCCGAAACACAGAGGTGGATTCCATTTCTCTCTGAAAGGCAAGAAGTTGCCACACGCGAAACGCCGCGTGAGTCGCGGATAGAAGGGCTCAAAGCCCTGGCTCGGGGAAGCCCACTGGCATCTTGGGGGTTCCATGTCTGACTTCTGGGATTTGGGGTGGGCAAAGTTATCTATCCAGCACAACTGAAACCTGCGCGTCGTCTTGTTCTGTGATCTATCCAGCACAATCGAAACCTGTCAGTGGGGGCGAAGAAGATCAGCGAAACGGACAATCGTCTTGATCCGTTTCGCGAGTCGTTGTCAACCTGGAACAACTCACTTCTTAGGGTTGAGCAACATCTTGTAACAACAAAGCCCTGGTCCTCTCTAAAGGGAAAACAAAGAGAATATTGCTTTATCAATAGTGCTTCAAGCATGAAATGGGGTTGGCCCAACCCTTCTCACGTTTAGCAGCACTTGGTGTTCGGGCCACACATTCTTCTGTTGGGCAAACATTGCAACATATACCACAAATCGGTCCCCAGTTAGAATTCATTCCTATTTCAGTGTCACACAGTCGCACAACTAAAGCCCGGCTGTTTTTGGATGAATCCACTCAAGTGACTCTACCTTGCCTGCTTGCCTGCTTGCTTGCCTGCTTGCTGCCTGCGTGCTTGTCTTGTGTCTATTTCTGCTCCCAAGCCACTTGGCGCAAACGAAGTAAACCAACTGACAAACAACCTGGTGGCTGGCACGGGTCTCATTTCTTCGTGCTGGGGATGTTTCCCGCGGTTCCTTTCCGGTCAGATGGATGGCCTGGATCCAGACCCCGTTCGGTTTCAGGCGGGCGTGCGAGCCAGCGCTTCAGTTCAAGTGTTCCGCCTCTTTTGAGGCAAAATCAGTCCAGGCCAGCCTTGAGAATCTCAAGGTGGAAGCTTTAAGCGGTAATTTCTCGGCCGATCCCAACTTGCCACAGCTTGTTGCAGTTTCTCTTTTTTTTGGGGGGGGGCCATAGCCCAAAGAACCAGCAGGAGATGTTCAATGGACATGGTGTCCAAACATTGCAAGGATGCGGTTGCTTTGAGAACATTTTTCTTTGAGGCCTCTCGCTTGGACCCAAGGACCCAAGGACCCATCCGGGTCGAGATGAAAAGACGGGGTATTTAAATTGGAGAATTGAGGTCTGGAAAGAGCTTGGGATGTGCTTCCCCGAGAATTCACATCACAGATCAGATCCCTGACGCTGACGCGTTTTCTCGTTCCCACGGAAGGAATCCCTTCCCATTTGCGAGGCTTCGCAGCTGAAACGGTTCGGGGGGTTACCTTTCTTCCCTTCTTGGGGGGGCCCCCTTCACAACCAACTGTGTTAAAACAAGGGCGCCCTGTCTTCCCTCATGGAAATCCTTGTAGCGCGACAGGTGAGGTTGGGACAGCAACTTGTAGCAACCTCATGGTTCGCAGCCCATGGTTCCTCTCCATAGAATCCCACGGAGCTGACGCTTTGGCAATCCTGCTCCGTGGGCTCGAGAAGCCAGGCGCGGCTCCTGCAACCGCAAAAAAATCCATATCGCATGTTGGTTCAGGGGATATGATGTGTACTAGAGCTTCCCGGCTGGGCAAGCCGCCATTCTATTCGATCTTTTTCGGCGTGGCAAGGGCTTGTTCTGGTGCGACGTGATTTTGCAAGGTCGGTGATGGCACCGTGATCAAGGGCATTGATGAGGCAAACTGCGAGACGGGCAAAATGCTTTGGTTTCGCTGCCCATTGTTCGATGCTTCGGGGCTTTGCAAAAATAGACCCTTGTGATATCGCACTGAATCAATTTGTCTGTCATTAGCTACCCCTAAGCCCCATTCTAATGAATATCTACCCTTGTCATCGCGGCTAGCCTTGAGCGGTTTTTCGTTGGTTTGTTTGGGTTTCTGAATTTATCATCCCACCAAAAATCATCACTTTTCGCGAAAGTAAGACGGAGAGCTCAGCTGGCTTTTCCATTGGAACTTCTGGATAAGCCGGCTGGAGCAGCAGAGGTTCGGTTTTCTCGTTTGGTTTGTGGCTGCGCCGCGTTTTGGCCTGCGGATCAACGTGGAACCGTGTGTGTTTTCTCAACAGCTGAAAGCTTCGGGGTCTCAGCCCAGATAGGCTCTGGGGTGGTGCGGGGCGGCCACGAGGTAAGGTTCCACGAGGTAAGGTTCCACGAGGGTTCCACCAAGGTTCCACGAGGGTTCTACGAGGTTCTGCGAGGGCTGGGTGGTGCGAAGGATTTCCGGGTATGACGTGTCTGTCTTTTTAGGGTACCCCTTCCCTGGGCGAAGACGAGCGGTCAGGGGGTCCTCGGCATGCGTGAGGGTGGCGTCCGGCAGCTCATTGTGCCGGCCGAGACCTCGGTCGAAGCGGCTTCGACTCGAGGGGTCCGTCTGTTTTCTTAAACGGGAGCGTCGGAAGGGAAGAACTCAGCTTAACCCCAATTGAATTGGTGGTTGGGTCTGGTTTGGATGGGGGTACCTTCCTCATTTGGCTTCAAAGGAGCGGTTCAATTCCCAAACCACCGATCCAAACCACCAAGTAAGGGTTGCCTGAAAAACACGAGTGGCTCTCTTTTTTTTCTTTCCCGGGGAGCCTCTTTTTAGTTGAGGGAAGCCACAAGGGCGCCGTTTATTTTGAAACAGCCCCGCAGTACAGGATTTTTTTTATTGGGTCCCGGACCCTTTCATGTCCACCAACAACTTTTGATGTGTTTCCAACTCTTGCAATTCATAGCCATGCGGGTTTGTCTCAAGATTGGCGGCCCTCAAAATTCGTGTTTTTTTCTCTTCTTCTGCTGTTCTCCTTTGAACCAAGCCCAAGAAGAGGGTACCCTGAAAAGACGTCAGAGGTTGATTCAGCCACTAGTGGCTTATGACGCTTTCTTCGCTTGGCTCTTTTTGTGGCTCGGAATAGTTTTGCATTTTCAGCGGGCCGGCCTCGTCTTGCTGAAGCATGATGTTGCAGTGGGCGTGTTTTGCGTGGGGCACTGTTCGGTCACTCAGGGTTGGTGGCCCGAAGCAGGCCAGTTTGGGGATCATGCAAACTTGGCTGTAGTCTACTGCCCATGTCCTTTACGGGAAACAACTCATCTTGACCACGGCTCCTGTGATTACTTTTGACATCGAATGTGCGAGGGAATCCGGATCACTTTTGGGAGAATCCGCTTTCGCAATATTCATCCCCAAGAGTCCGGCCACCGCTGGCCCTGGTCATGGTTCCCCTTTTTGGTGTAGCCCTTGCCCGCGACCACGCGCAAGCCCAAGCGGTAGTTTTGACCGTGGCATAGCTGCAATTACATCGATCATCTCCGGCTTTGGAGCTAGCGGCAAGGGCTTTGCGAAGCCCGTTCGCCAGTTGGCCATGCGGTTGGTCGGAAGGTTGGGGCCGCATTTGTTCAAGCAAGACACGAAATGGACGCCAAAAGCAGGTTGACAGTGGTTCATGTCTTCCTTCACAAGCCGGTCAAGAGGTTCATTGCGACCCACAAAACAACAGCAGATTTTGGGTGTCTGAAGCACTTGGCTCGTGATTTGTTTCATTGGGGACGGTTCTGACGAGAATCTACCATGGGCGATCCATGGAGGAGTGTGGTAGGCAAGAGGCTACTGGTTCCCGAAGAACAACCACATTCTCAAGAGACATATCCCGTGATGGTACCTTCCCACCCAACGGAGAGTTTCTGCACAATTTGTCCTCAAGCACGCAGAAGCTTCTCTTACCGCGCATACTGTTTTTTGCCAAGGTTGCGCAACCGGACCCGGTTAAGTGCAGCTTAGTACAGAAGTAGATGCGGATTTGAATCTTTGCATACTTTTGTCGGGGTAGGCCCGTTATTAAGGTTGCACTGAAAATTTGCAAGGAGTGTTTGTCTGGCACATGGTCAGGCGTCGCCTGACCTCAGGCAGTTTCCAACGATTCCCAAGAGCTTTTTATTGGCCGCTTTGCAAGGCGTTCTACCTGGCTGAACAAGGGGCAGCAAGGCCTCTAGGTACCTTCCAAACCATGGCACCAAACGTCGATGATGGGCGAAACAGGAGCTGTTCCGGTGTGCATGTATCAAAAATGCGGGACCCCCAAAAACAAAAAAAGAAAAAAGGAAGGACAAATACTTCGCTTCGAGCAATCCCCACTCTCCACACTCACGAGCTTACGACCGTGAACACGGTTGTGTGAATTCAAGCATGGTTTTCGAGTGGCTTGGGGTCTATGACTGCTCAACAAGCTTTGCATTGAGAGCCTTATCAACCTGTCTGTGTGTCAAACACTTGCTGTGAGCCGATCTCGAGAACTCAAACATCGGTTCCGTTAACAAAAGCCAAGCCGCTTCCAAAAAGAAACCCGACGGGGGATTAAGCGAAGTTGCTTATTCGCAACCCAAAGCAACACAAGAACATCACCCCTTCCAAGCCTCAGGGTGCACTCAAAACACGCAGGCACCAACATGAAATGTAAACCCAACTGTGCGCCGGGCGGGACATTAAGCAAAACCAGACTGGCAAGCTGCTCTGGCGGGATACTGGCGGGATCCACTGGCGAATGCTGGCGAGCCGCTCCGGCTCGATACTGGCCGGATACTCGGCAGGATCCACCAACAAGGGATACTCAGCGGGTTACTCGGCGGGACCACTGGTGGGGCGGGTTGTTTTAGTGGGATACTCGGACTCGGCGGGATCCACTGGCGAGCTACTGTGAGATAGGACACTCGGCCACTGACGAGCCGCTCTGGCGGGATACTCGGCGGGATCCACTCGCGAGCAGCTCTGGCGGGATCCACTGGCCAGCTGCTCTTGGCGGGATACTCGGCGGGATCCACTGGCGAGCCGCTCTGGCGGGAACCTTGGCAGGATCCACTGACGAGCCGCTCTGGCGGGATACTTGGCAGGAGCCACTGACGAGCCGCTCTGGCGGGATACTCGACAGGATCCACTGGCGAGCAGCTCTGGCGGGATACTGGGCGGATCCACTGGCGAGCAGCTCTGGCGGGCGGGATCCACTGGCAAGCTGGTCTGGCGGGATACTCGGCGGGATCCACTGGCGAGCTGCTCTGGGAGGATGCTGGGCATCGCAAACGCGGATTCCAACAAAATTTAACAACCCCTTTCTGACGGGTGGGGAAAACAGAAGAAGAAGAAAACAGACCCACGGCGACTCTCCATTTTTGGCCCGGCCACTCAAGCGACGAGGTGGAGTTGAGCTATGATGAGGACCGATCGAGATCGCGGGTTGATGGGAAACCGGTTCCCAGACTTTCAGCTTATATAGGGTTTCCAGGGAATGACACCTCCCATGGACGCATGAACCGCTAGAACCGCTTTTTTGGAACGGGGTCAGTTTGACCAATCCGGGTAGCTCGTGGAATTCCCAAAAAGGTCCGGGCGAGAGAGAGAGAGAGAGAGAGAGAGAGAGAGCGTGCGGCGGTCAACCTCCGGATCCGGATGAGACAGAACCACGACCCGGCATCTCGCTCGCATGCTTGGCCCGGAGAAATTCTCTCCTTTTGTCGGGAATTCGCGCAGGCCGCGGTCTGGATTCTCGTCTAGCCATGCGAATCCAACCCGCGAAATCAACGTGAACTCTTGGGGCAGACAGGAAACCAAACACTAATCACCCATACTGACCCCGGGTGACAACCTGGATGGCCCGGATAATGCTGACCCTAGCATCGGGGTGCCCTTTTACCCTTTTTTGGGGGAGGGTTCCCCCACTAAAATAGACGATTCAGAAAAAAGATGAGGTACCCTTATTCTAACCTCTTTAGTGGAGGAGCTAGCCAATATGGTAGACAGAGGTTTATGCATATTGGCATGTCTTTTTTAAGGAGACCACTCAGCGTGGTGGCTTTCCGCTTTCCTCTTGATTTCCCTTTCGAAGCACAAAGCGGGGGACCCTCAAAGACAGACCCCTATGAGGTCATTTCCAGTTCGTGTTAGGGGCACCAGCTGGCGCCGCGGCCGAGCACCGCCGGGGGTGCGGGGCCCTGGAGTCCTGGAGTCCTGGAGTCCTGGAGCCGGGGCCGGGGCGAGCCTCAGGAAGAGGAAGGGATCTTGCCCAGAGGGAAACCTGAAGTCTCTTTTGTTTCTTCTTCTCCTTTTTTCCTCTCCTTTTTCTCTCTTCTGTTGTTTGCCTTTTTTCCTTTTTTGTTGTATTCTTTTGTCTTTCTTTTTTTTATTTCAAGGGGTGGTTTGTAAAATCGATCTTTCTATTTTAACAACATGTTTTCCAAGCATTTGGACCTCTCGGTGTGTATCCATGGAGGATCTGGACACATTTGAGCTCGCCAGCTGCCGGAGGCAAAGAAAGCACACCAAGAAAGCACAAAGAGAAGGCCGTTTCGCGGCAAACCGTTGAGACCCATGGAGATTCCATGACAAGGATAATTTTCTCGGAATCTTTTTGCACACATCAACTGACATCCATGAAACAAGGGAACACCCGTCCAAGAGCACACGCATCATAGCAGTCGCCCAAAATCAACCACTAGCAGCAACAGACACCAGAGGCGGGGATGTTGGGATACAATTACGAGGACCACACGCTGGCATCAAGAGACAACTAACATAGTGTGCAGTCGCATCCTGCAAAGAAAGACAGTTCAATTTCTCCTTTCTAGACTTAGCTAACCTTTTTGCTCTGTTGCCCATCTGGGTTGCCAGCAACAAGTTGTCAATTTGCGGAGGAGTCGGAATGGCATTTGTTTTGCGAATGTGTTCTGGCAGAGTTGAGGGAGGCACCGGAGGCAGGATATTGATGTTTCATCACGAGAACCCAACCCATCCCCCAAAGATACTAGAAGAACCTAACTAAGAAGGAGTTGCTTTGTTGGGTACTATTAAACCAAATTCCTCACGAGTAAACGCTGATATTATTTGTAGTAAGGGCTCTTGCGTGTTGGCGGGCTCCACCTTATGTGATGCACGAGGCAACCGCGCGCTGGACTTTGTCATGGACAACAAGGGCGGGCTCATGGCCCATGCCTCGATTTGGGCAAGAGGTCTCTCTGGGAGTTAAATCTCTGTTGGCAATTTGTTTAAACGTTGGGGTTGACCAAACATGAAAGAAGCCAGATTTCTTTGCCCACAAAGATTGACTTGGGCCCTGTTTTCTGAGGGTATCCTTTTCAGGGTTGGTTTCAAGGTCAAAAGGGCCATTTTGGCTCTTGTTTCGGCACAAAAGCCCAAAGCCCACACATGTTTGAATTTAATTACACCGCAAAACTATTTCGAAAGGAAAGTTAATAAGAACTTTCCTGTAGTCTGTTTTCAAATATAAATAATAGAATAAATAATCAACTTCAACATATGGCTTGCTCTGCAGATAGACAGCCTTTTGATTCATAGATATGAACGAAAGGGTGCCCTCAAAAAGGGCACGCCCATTTTGACCCTCCGAATGGCTCCGCAATGTCGAGGACAAGACCCTGCTGATCAACGTTGCGGTGAAGCGCGCCGGCTCCTCAAGTTGGCGGAAGTTAACAGAGCCGAACATATGTGTGTGTATGCATATGGATGTGCATGTGCATGTGTATGTGTATGTGTATAGATGTGTACGTATATGGATATGTGTGTTCAAAGGGCCGGGGTATGGGATCAATTGCAGGAAGGTAGCGATTGAATGCATGTCTTGTTTCATGGAGTTTGAGAAAGAGAGGGTTCAAAGGGTTGAACGCGGGTTGAGACAGGTTGGTTTCCAGGACTTGCCAGAGATTCTCACAGCTGTGTGTCAAAGCAAGGGGGCTTTTCTAGCTCAAAGGCGGGGAACCCAGCTCATCAAGCCGTCCATTTGTTTCGCCGGGATTGAATTTCGTTCGGGCTTGAGGTGAGCTTCCTGGGGTGTTTTTCATGCGAAGTTTCTCGAGCCCTAAGGGCACGAAGCTCGGAGAGGGGCTCGGCAGAAACATGTTTTTCCCCTGGCTGGCCAGTGTCGCCACTTTGGGGTTGCAGACTTTGTTTCAGCCGAGATCTCGAATGTGCAAAACAGATTAGGGTCCAACATCATGCGTTCCGGCAGGTTCTACCATAGTTGTGGCTGAGAACCGCGTGCATTTGCTGAAATGAAATTTTGAATGTGTTTGTTGCATGCGTTCTCATGAAGTTCATGGATTGCAGTCCCTATTTGTTGAAACAAGCACAGCCATTTGTTGCCAATTCTCGCAGTTTCCAAGGAATCTTGATTAGATCTAAAGGGGGTGACTTCGAAACGATTAAGTATTTCGGCCAGTTCCTCTCAATCTACTCTGCACTTGCGTTCATAGAACGGGCACTTGCCATGCCGTTGTACAGGCATTTGCTTTATTCTCAATAGGGCAACCCCAAAACAGGTGGCCTCCTTTGGTTCCCCGTTAAAACCAGCCCCCAAATCGGTAGCCCCCGTAGCCCCTCAAAAAACCACGCAGCTGGTTCTCTTCAATTTCCGAGACCTGCTCATCTGGATAGAGGCAACCGGTTCCAGCCAGGAAGCTGGCCTCCATACTCAGCTCAGGTGGATCGAATCAGAAGCAGGCAGCATTCTTGGTTCTCGCCATCTGGTTCCTCAGGTTCTTAGTGGTTTCTAGTTGGTTTGGTGTGTGGGGGTTTCCATCGAATCCACAAGTTCAGTTTTCCAGGTCCCACGACTCAACCCTTACAAGGAAGTTCTCGGGGATGCAAACATCAGCCAGTTTGATCGGCAGTTTTCTGCGTTCCTTGGGGTTCCTGGCGGTTCCGGGGGGTTGCTTGGGTGATGTTTCCACATGCTAAGGTCTATCCAAAGTGAAGGCCAGGCGACGACTTTTTCGGGAGAAGAAATGGCGCGCGCCTCGCAAATGCCGTCGCGGCGCCTGGTGTTTGCTGCCTGAAGGGCGTGTCTTCGTCTTTTCTCGGGCTACCCAGTTTTTTTGCTGGGCTCCTTCGGCTGGCTAGAGGGAACCAAAGGGAAACCACGGCCTCGGCCTTTCGGCGATGCTTGCGTGTTTTCACCTGTCTGCCGATTTGCATGGGCTCGCAGGCTATTGGCGAGCATAGATCCACGAAATCGAAGAGCGAAGCATCTCTGCAGCGAGTCAACTCGAAACGCCAAAGCCAAACCGCGCCATGGCCAAGAAGACACGGCGGTCTTTGCGCAGGTTCGGAGAGAAACACAGGAACTGGGCATGTGGTTTGTCTCATAAGGAACTTCCACATGCTTGGCTTCCTTGGGGTTTGCTTCTAAAGTTAACAAAAAGTGGGGAATTACCCCTACCTCCATAGCGGTGGCCTGGTACCAAGATCAATCTCTTGGGACCCCCTAGGTGCCATGTGGAAGCGAGGGTACCCATTTAAAAACGACCCCACCCCGCTTGTTTTGTGCTGCTTCCCCCCAAGGTTCTTGACTTTTGACTTTCGCAGCCTTTTTGCCAGCTTTCGCATGGCAGCTTTGAGGAAACGTGGACCTCGGAATGCCAGGAACTTGTGAGGCGATCGAAGAAACAGAGCGAGCCAGGAAATACCAGGAGAAGTCGCCACACACCCACCACAAATACTAGAAAAGGAATTTGGGGGTCGAATTTCCTGGATTTTCCAGAGTGGTTCCGTGAGTTTCGGAGAATTCCACCCAGTCTATTCAAATCAGGAACCCTAGGTAGTCCCAAGCGACTTTGGTCTGGAGAGAATGAGATACTGGCAGAGAAATGCGGGCAAGTCTGGGTTTGGGAAGTCGTGAAAACGTCCTCTCAAATGGTTTGGTTTCCTACTCTTGCAACCAAGAAGTGGCTGGTGGTCAACCTGTTTTTCTTGGGACACAGCGATGTCAAGTTTGAGTTGCCAGTTGCTGCTATTGGCAGTGGACAAATCAGCACCTGAGGGCAAAATAGGCTCATTCGGGAAACGAACACGAACTGTCAGGCCTGCGTCTTTTCATTGCACCAGCCCACTTTTGGGGTCATTTTGGGGCCTGGACGCGCATAAAAATCCGGTCCCACGCGTGGGCAGGGGCCTCTTGCTGTGTGCCCTTTGTGCCGTCGCAGCCGCTGGCGTTCAGAGCCTAGGCGCGGTCGACCAAATATGTCTTGGACACCACCCCATGGAGCCCCGAATTTCGTCAAGATATGGTGATAGATGGGGTAATGTATGTAAATGGGGTGAGCTCCAGGGGATGGTTAACATGGGAGCAACTGTTTGACCTAATGCCTTCTTGACCTGGCGACAAGTTGAGGCTACCCCCGTTTTTTGCTGTACCCCTAGAATGGTTCTCGAAGCTGCTCTAAGAACTCTCTTGGTTTCCGCTCCCATAAGGGTGTAGGTCAAAAATGGGTACCCAAAGTAGGTTGTCCTTGTAAGTGGAAGCAAGGACTAAGACCTGTGTTCGCTTGGTGGTTACCATGCCCAAGTGATGTCTCTCATGCCGGCCCTCTTTCTTGTGTAGAGGGCCAGGTCCTGCAAGACAGCGCCGGGGGCTCCAGAAATGATGATATGGTCTTGGGTTTCCCTTTAGCTGGGTCCTTCAACCAAAACATGTATACGTTAAGGCTGAGACACACACACACACACACCCTCTGCTCCTAGCCGGTTCTTCGCTCCAAAGTCCGCGAAATTCCCGTTTCTGTTGGGCGGATGCTCACACCACTGGCATGAAGCTGATGGCGGATTCTCAAAGCAAGGAAGGCCCTCCGAAAAGTCCCTCTCTCGGAATTTGCAGCTGGAAACCATCGAATCGGGGCTCCGCGTGAAGGGTTGTGGAGTCGCATGACTGGATGGGGGTTCAGAGTGTGCCAGGTGGCAGTTTAATAAGTGCGAGAAACCAGCAATCGCTTGGAGCCCCGAGGGTTTTTTCAGGCTGGGGTCGATAGGCCCAGATAGGCGCTGTTTTGGTGGTCTAAAACGCGGGCCGGCCAATCCCGTCGCAGGCTTCGCGATGGCGAGGAGATTGGTCGCCGGGAGCCCAGCGTCGCATGCCCCTAGACCTGGGCCGCATGTTGAGGTCGATCACTGTTGGAAGACCCTCTCAGCCACCGTTCTAGAGGATGTCTTACTAAAAGTGGACAGTTCGGAAAGCTCAAAATTGAATTGAGAGGAGTTAGGTTCCAGCGCCCTTATGGAAACAATAAGCAAAATGGACACAGTCATTCCTCCCTCAACTCTTTCTCCGAAGGGCTAGATCCCAAGGGGGAACATGGCAAGACGGACCTGAAACGGGTTTCGTTTGGTTCCACTTTGTGCCCCACCAAAAGAGTCTGTCTTCGTGTGACGTATGCCGCCAACTTCGCATTTATCTTGGCCGTCTTCTTGAGGGTTGCCCGCCCCGCCCCCACCCCCACAAATCCATAGCATTTTCACACTCAAGGTGGAACTGTCCCCCGATTGGGACAGCACCAAATGGGCGCGGCTGTCCAATAAATTCTTCACGCTAGACCTTCATGCCAGATACTGATACCTTTGAAGCTTTCGGGGGAAATGTGAGGAAATTGCTCGAAAACCATCTTCCTCTTATGACCTTGGTGGGAGGGGACCCCCTTTTCCGAAGCAAAGAATATGAGTCTGTCTCAGAATAGAGGAACCCAGAAATAGAGGGTTTCCTTCTGGTTTCCCGTGAACACCGTCCAAGAAGGGTAGCCCAAGAAAAAACACACCCACGTGTCTTTGGGCAAGGACCCTTTCTTCCACAGAAGCTGCAGGCAATTCCCACGAGTCCAGGTTCCCGTTTAATTTCCGGATACGTTTCCATGGAACATGGAGGCCCCTGCTTGGGACGGTGTTCCTCTTCCTCGTGAATACACCAATAGGTCATAACATATATATATATATACATGCATGAGGCATACTAGGGTGGGCCTAGTTCGTAAACAGAATTGGTCGACACCACCTGAATCACTACCGAAGAAGACACCTTTCCATTGGATGCAAAGTAGAGGTTGCGGTTTCCAGACTCATTCGAGTCAATCGATAGCACCAAAGCTCGTTACAAAGCAGCAGACTTTCGGGTCGCGGTCTTTGTTGACTAAAGTGGTCGACACCTCTAGCATCACCAGTGTTTTAGTCACAGAAGAAACTATCCGCTGACTAAAGGTTGCAATTTGTTTGGCAATTTGTTTCGCAAAGAACTTTGATGCCGCCGAATGACTTTCAAAAATCAAACTACCCTCCCTGCCACCAACATGGCACCTGACAGGGGGTCCCTCCAAGAGGAAACTAATCTTCCAGGCACTCTCCACAGTTGCTATGTTAGTGGAAGAGAGGGTACTTTTGTAACGGAACATCTTAAGACTACACCACTTCCTCAAAGGAACATCTTAAGACCACGCAAGATGCCTCACTTCCTGAGGTCCTGGACTTTAAACTTCTTGGGAATATTATTTTGGTGGTAAATATTAAAGTTCCTAGACCTTCTTTGGCCAATCCACTCGTTCGGAAGTGAGATTCTGCCTGCACCTTGCCGCCTTGCGCGTTCAGGTGGGGGCTTTGGCTGGCAGTTTGCTGGGCGCTAGAGAAGCGCACGCGCCCGGCACAAAGCGATCAGGGTTCGGTATGGGTTTGTCTTAAATGAGGGGAACCCCCCTATTCCCCTTGGAACCAAGGGTTCCCTCCAAAAAAAACACATTTTGTGCTTTTTGAGGGTCCACATGCCAAACAGAACCCGAGATCCATTTTTAGGCTCCTATTTTGACACAGCCATTCCGCTTTCGGGTGGTTTGAGTTTCGTCAGCTTTTGGCCGCCAAATGAAAGTGAGCTTCCTTTTGGCGTGATGACTTTTTGGGGAAATGTGGGCTGCGGAGATGCCACGCGCCGCGCTTTTATGGCACCGAGTAGACGGTCATTGGACAGGCGTTTCGATCTGAACCTCTGAATCTTGCAGAGAGTAAATGGGAAATCATCCCAAACCACCAATCCACCAACCCAAACCACCAACTGGGGGGAAGCTGGTTCCAGTTTCATTTTGGTAGGAGATTCCACTGGCAAAACTTCGGAGTTGGTACGGAGAATTTGGACGAGAAGCCATGAGGCATGTGTTCCATTGAAAGGGCATGGCCATGAGGAGTTTGGCTGACGCGAGCTTGGCTTTATAGCACTTTCTCTTTTTGCCTCTCACACAGGAGCAGCTGGTCCGTTTTCAGCTTAGGGCCCCAGTTTTCGAGCTTAAAGGTGGTCAAACGGAAGAAGATCAACGTGCATTTTGCTTGGGTCCCCTCGGTCTTGGGACACACCTAAGGCCCCCCCCTCCCCAATTTTGGGACACATCTGAGGTTTGGTGGACACCCCGCCAAAGGAAGAATGCATCGTTTCGTTTTGGCTTCTCCGATAACAAACCAACCAGCGCGCGAATAGATCACAACTGCTGGTCGATTTGAATCCATTTATGTCAGGAAACTAGATCCAATTTGTTCACCCACAAAAACTGGTTGGGCTAATCCTGATTTCGCACCTTACCGTGCCTCCCCCACAAACAGTACCAACACTTGTGGTTAAAGCGAGGGCTTTGGCCTCACGTTCCGCGACACCAAGGAAAACCGTTTCAAACTGAGTCATAGTCAACATTTTTGTATCAAAATGGTCTACCCAGAATCGTGTCTCTGAATCAAAAGGCGGACGGAGTTGCGACCCGATTTATGGCCGGAGTGTCCCTTACCCTCCAATTCTCCGGGTTTTGATTGTGACTCAACTGATGCAGTATTCAGGCCTCAAACCGGGATGGCCCACTAAAGTGGCACTCGACACTGAGGGTGAAGCAGGCGGACAAGGACAGGTTGATCACGGGCTACAAAGATTTGCCCGGAGCCCAAAGAGACGGAAGCCACTTCCATTTGCTTGAGACTACGGTATATTTCCCCCTGTTAGTTTTAAAGGGAACCTATAACCACTGGACACTCAAGCAAATGGAAGCAAAGCTAAGCCCAGTGATTGTTGCTGGTTTCAATGCCTACGGTTTTCTTGCAGGTCACGTGATGCCCCCATTTTGCTGGGTCCCCTAAGTTCCCCAACGCACTCATTGGGACAAGACCGGTTTGCTGGTTCTCAGCATTTGTGGGCAGAGGTTGAGGTTCTTGAGCGAACAACACCCAACTTACGCTTTGGTGTCGAGGAACTGGCCGGATTCTTTTAGTTTGGGGGTCATCCTCTCATCTGAGAAGCGACCAGGTCGAGGTTGCGTGCCTTCCTGTTTGTTTTTTTCCCTCATGCAACAGCGGCGAGAAACGATTTTCGGGCAGTGGGGTGGTTTCGGGGCAGCCTGCAGGTCCCAGCTACCATCGTTTCTGAACAGAAGGGGTGCAGAGAATGTTTGGACTCAATCCTTCGATGCGTGGTTCCTTTTAAACCCATTTCAAGGTTCTGCAGGTACAAGACCAAACTGCGCACTTGGAATCGATCCTTTCCATGGGAACTCGATGAGAAGTGGGAGGTCGACGTTAAAAATCCTACAGACACGGCCAGGGTCTACATGATGCAGAACTTCAACAAGGTCACCAGGAAGTGCGATAAGAACCAGGACCGCAAGCCGAAAAAACAGCGGCAAGGAAAAAACCCGCCGTGAAGGGTTTCAAAGCTTTTTTTTTTTTTTAGCTTTTTTGGTTGGCCCACTTCCAGGCCTTTCTCTGGAGCTGAGCCAAGAGGGTCGTTTATAGGAAACTCCGGAGTGAAGCGTATCAGACAACCGGCGAGCTGCGAAAGAAGAGAGTTTTCAGAGGGGTAAGATTAGCCGGATTGCCAATATGTTCCCGAGCCCTGTTTTCTGCGACGAGTCTTTCCATTGTCCCCGGCAGGGAGCCTGGAATCAACAAACTGGTCTCATTTCTAGCTGACCCGCCGCCTCTTCCCTGAGTTCTGTGCCACCGCAAGCGGTGCCGACAAGGTGATCTTCTTGCGGCTGGGAGTCGGAAGGAAACCAGTGGGCTTTCAGTTTGCTTGGCAGGTTCCATGTTAAGAACCAGAGTCTACCATGCCTGTTTAGGGGTAATTTTTTAGGAGAAAGACCAGGTTCTTGATGTAAATAGGCAAACACCAGCTTCGCTAGAAAACCGTTACGAGCCACGTGATTCGGATCGGAAGGAGAATGTCCAGCGAGCTCTGCAGTCCGGACAGGCCACGTTGCGCGCCGAAAGAGAGCCATGACCAGTGCGTCTCTCTCTCTGTCTCTGTTTCCCTCCCTCCCTCCCTCCCTCCCTCCCTCCCTCCCTCCCTCCCTCCCCTCTCTCTATCTCTCTCTCTCTCTCTCTCTCTCTCTCTCTCTCTCTCTCTCTCTCTTCAGGGTACCTTCATTTCATTTTTTGAGTGGAAGGATTGGACAACAAAAAAAAGGGGGAGCCGGAGCCCATTCTTTTCGGGGGCCCGATTCCCTTTTGGCACGAGCCGTTTAGCCGCCAGCCACTCCGGTCACTCGAAGCCCCGAAGCTGGGATCCTCAGGCAGCTCAGCGGACTTTTGCGGGTGCCGTTTTTTTTTTTTTTTTTTTTTTTTTTTTTTTTTTTTTAAAGGGCGCCGTGTTTTTATTGGGGGGGTGTTTTTTCCAAGGTATTTTTGTTTTGGGGGTGTTTTTCGAAGGTGAAAGGAAACTGTCGCCTCTCAAAAAGAGGCCATTTGGCAACCGAAAGCTATGGTCCCAAGCGAAGCAAGGGAAGCAGTCCTGAACCGAGTCGCTCACTATCGGTTAGTTTGCTTAAACATAGATGGCACTGGTTTAGATGGGGCTTCATTTACCCGGGCAAAAGGCCACCTGTACATATACGCTCACTAGGCTATGGCTTGAACTCTGAATCCGGGCAGTTTTGGATCGCAAGGGAGTTGCCCGCATCCGATGGCAAATTTGCACAATGTTCAGCCTTCGCTCGCACATTCGGCCAACAACCCCTGGTACATCTTGAACTCCCGGCACATGTGTGTTCTTTGTCCTCGATATCCCTGGGGCCTTTGCTGCCAATCCAAGGTGCAGCTTTTTGAAGGACATGCAGCGAATCAAGGGTGGTTCCGTTGATTACCTAGCGGCTGCCAATCGATCGCAATCCAAGGTTCACCAAAAGAGACATGAGAGTGCTAACAAAGTACTGAACCGCATTCGCCAAACACAGCCCATGTTGGGTTGCAGACTTCTCCATACTCCCATCTTGCAAAACAGCTCTCCTGATTCACAGATACCGAAGACGCAGAGCCCATGTTTCAGAAGGAGCCCCCGTTTGGGGAAGCCATCTCGACACGGATCCGACTTCGAATTCGCCAGAATTCGCCGGACAGCTGCATCGCCCAGCCCCTTGTGGCGCGGCCCGTGCGTGGGTTTGGGATGCAGTTGAGGCAGACGCCAAGTGGGACCTGGAGACTAGGGCGGATGATAAAGCAAAGGTTAGTTTGGTTTCCCAGAAATCAGGGGCCAACTTCTGCATTTTGAGGGTCGTTGGAGCAGCCCTGTCAAAGCTTCTTCGAATGGGATGCGCCCAACATCAGCCAAGTGGGTGGGTGGGTGGGTGGGGTGGCCAACATGGTGACCCCCAACACGGGTAGTCTCATGTTGGCTTACATTTAGAACCCCATATGCGAGGACACCTACTCCCATCCACCCAAAACCCAACGAGACCCAATGCGAAATGGTGTCAACACACTCATTGCATAAATCGGCGTACAGTGGTTGTGCGCGCCGTCGTCCCTTGTGGGTGGCCATTTGGGACAAGTTTGTTTGTCTTCGCTCGTCTGCGTCCGACGGCTCCTCTTTGGCCAATGGCGGATCCCAGCTTTCATAGGGTTGCATCCATCCCAGCCAGTGCGAAGTGGACGTTTCCCATCCAGCTTGCTTTTTCGACTTTTGCCTGATTGGTTGTTCGAGCCATTTCTCTTTCAACTGGTATCACATTTCTGCTTTTGCGCTAAGACCCTGGTTTGGCTCGTGCGTGTTATTTTCAAGGGGCTACTACGGGCCACTACTTTTGACAACCCCCTCCTCCCCCGCGCAAAAACAAAGGCAACCGGGCTCTTCGGCTGGTTGTGGTTTCTGGTTCTTCGGTTGGTTTCCCCCTATGCACGTCTGCCTTTCAGGTTCGATAGGGGTTTCATTCTCAACCCCTTTTAGTGATTCTCTGAGCGCCCAAAACCGGCCATTTTAGTAGGTGGCGCTGGTGTCATGGTTGCAATAAGGCCGGCCCGTACCCCTAGAAAGGAGGTAGGTAAAAACGCAGTCAACAGCTCTTCGTTCAACTGGCGGGTCCTTGGACCTGTTTCGGTATGTGGCGGCCTTGTGCCGCCTGATTGACCCCTCAACATCCGCCAGGTGCGAAAGTATTTGGGCCAGACCTCCATCAAAGCCAACCTCTTCGACACCAAGAACCTCTTGGTGAACCTTGAGGTGAGACTCGAAGGTCTCGGGCCTCCGCCATTTTTTTTTTTGCTTGGAGAGCAACTAATTGAGAAGCAGATGCACACGCACTACCACCACCGCCACCGCCACCGCCACCGCCCCGCCACCCCCACCGCCACCAACACCACCACCACCACCACCACCACCACCACCACCACCACCACCACCACCACCACCAGCAGCAGCAGCAGCAGCAGCAGCAGCAGCAGCAGCAACCACAACTACAACCACAACCACAACCACAACCAGAACCACAACCAGAGCCACAACAAGAACAAGAACAAGCGCCTATTTCCCTTGAAGCGGATCCCCTTCTTTCCTCGAGTAATTCACATTGCGAGATGCCCGTTTTAAAGGACATCGCTTTGAAAGGGAACACACACATCCTCTTGTAAGATGACGTCCAAAGGGACCTTCTTTGACCCCTTCACGAGAGCCACGCTTTTGCCGGCCATATGAGCTACCGTCGAATTTCGTGCTGCCGTAAGAAGCCTCTCAAAGTGACATTGCAACAACATTGAAGTTTGGCCGATCATGAACTGTTCTAAAAGAAAGGGCCACGATGTGGACCATGTTTTTTGCATTCCAAAAGCCGGAAGCAGGCATTGATGCTTTGAGGGGTTTAGCTTGGGTCGGATCCTTCGCATTCTGGCTCCCCGGAAACCTGAAAGGTTTCCAGTCAGACTTTGCCCCCAAAACGGTACTTCTCCTTTCGTGGCGGTGCACGAATGGATCCCGGGTTTGAGCAACATGGCCTTCCAATTTTCGTGCTTCTTTTGCTGCACACATGATGTGAAGAACATGCTGGCTACTTGTTCTGGTTACATTTCCTGAACTGAAGCGGTCGGGAGAGTGTCGAGCCGCGCAGCTTGACGGCTTGGTCCCGTCCAACAAGGAAGATGAGCACCTCAGCTGCATGCCAGGGATCAGTTCACTGCACGGAACTCCTTGAACTCATGGCGGCGTTTAGAGGGGTTATGAGACATGAACAGCGATTAGCAAGGGATCTACGAAGGAGGTTGTGCGTCCTGTTTTGTTCCTCCCACTTTCTGAAGGGGCTAGAGACGCCTCCTTCGGGTTCAGGTCTGTCGTTTGGAAATCGACGATCTAGCGGCACAAGGGGCTGCGCATTTCGCTGTTCAACACTTGCTGGCTCTCAGGCAATGAATGAGAATTCCTTAGTGAACCATCCAGCTGGTTTCCTTTCAGGCAATCCTAAACGGTTCAGTCACCCCGAAACTCTATCGACCAAGCCACGAGTGTCGGATTCATTTTCCAGATCCAAGCCACTTCCTTGACCCCCAATGGGTGTTTGCAGGAGGGCACCGGACTCTTGGCAGCCAAAGGGAAAACCACAGCTTCTCGGGTTGGATTCCACAGCATCTCCCGTGTGGGGTGCTGAAAGGCCCCGAGTTGATGTCAGGTACGGGGATTTGGTGGAGGACTTCGAGAAGTTCAAGCGAGAGGTCGGGCAACTTCGCATCGCGACGCGATGCGAGTTGTGCAGTGAACATCTCCGGTTTTGTCGCGGGATTGTGGACCCAGGATGAATAAACCCGTCCCAGTATTAGTTTTTTTCTTCTCCCACAGTCATGAGTCCCCAATGAAAGGGGACTCCCCTTATTAATCAACCAGGGGTTTATGAATCCGGGGTTAACATCATGATGCCCTGAGGTGTAAATGATCTTGGAAAGCCCAGAATTTGCAACAAGGGAGGAACCGTTGCCATTTTGGTTCCGATTCCTTTGGGTTCCGCGAGCATGCCGTTGGGGATATCACCTGAGCTGATTTTCCATACCCTTGTTTTTGTGGTTTTGAAGGAAGACCAAGAGGAGAACCACTGTAGAGCTCATGGGGTCTTCGACTATATGGAACGGAGTCAGAACAGCACATTTTCTGTGTAGCTCAGATGTGGGTAAAGTTTTCCTGCCTTCGAGTGCAAACTCATCGTGCCCAATATGCGCAAAGCTATGGAATACCCGCAGGGGATCAACCAGTTTACTTTTGGCTTACGGGCCCACAAAGCGATTGGCGGGAAGAAACGAAATAGCAGGGCCCCTCCAAAGCCAGGAAAAGGCCCTGTTAACACCGCGGCACCGAAGTTCACAAGGTTGAGACGCCGCCAAATGGGCATATCAAGTTGGGGTTTCCCTGCCACACTAAAATTGGAAGCCCATCCAATTTTTTCAGGATGTTGACAGGGTCAATTGAAATTCACCCCCGCAAGTGTCAGCGGACTGCCCGAACCCGGGGCACTCAGCTGGGGGACTCCATGCCGGGTTGCTTCCAACTGGTGCTTTGCGTTGGTGGCAGATGTTGACCCCCTTCTGCTGGTTGGTAAGTGGGATGTACACCCCTCAACCGTTGCGCTTTGGATGTAATTCAACGCATCATACGGAAAGACACAGAAGATGGACACTGGGTTAGTAGCAAGTGAGGGACATAATTAGCACAGCGCGCTGCGCGTTGATTCGTTTATATAGGATGTAAGCCAGCGAGTCGTGCACAGCGGCCTTGTTGCAAGATGAATTTAATTGCTGTCGAGCGCACCTTGTTTGTACTTGGACTTTTGACAGCGATGAGAACCATTGTAAAGGTCATTTGGAGAAGGATCCTGCCTATGGACCATTATCAAGGTCATTTGGATACCCATGATGGAAGAATCCTTGTCCAGAATCTCATTGAGGATCACCATGGCCCACACTTTGGGAGTTTTGACAACGCACATCTCCCCAATTAGCATCACCGCCAATTGACTCGACGCAGTCCGACGAATGGGCATATTCCTCGTCCTGGGCGGAGGCATGGGACCTTGCGCTTTGCAGTGAGAAAGCGAGCCCTGTTGGTCACAAGTTCGTTGCCAGACTTTCCCTAACCTTAAAACACACTTTTGCCTCTTTTTTTCAGACTTTCTCAGACTTTCCTTTTTAAATCCTCTTGCTCTTTTGCGATTCCTTCACTTTCCCTGAAAGACTTCACTTGGTTGCGCATGGAGTATTTCTTCGGGCGCGGGCGGTGCGCTAAGGGCCTGTAACGGCCAGCGTTGCCCAGGCACGTGGTCTATCCCGAGCAGTTTCATATATCCCGCGCTGTGCGAATTTTGTCCATCACGCAGTCACGCAACACTTGAGCAACATTAAGGTGGGTCTGTCCTTTTAGGGGAGGCCCCCTATAATGGTGTTTTTTGCTTGTTTTTGTTTCCCTTTTAGCGCTAAAAACATGGGGGTACCCTCAAATTGGTATCCCAACGTCATGAGGCAAATTTGCATGCCTCAGCGGCCACGTGCATCCCCAGACCTCCCCGGAGCCGCGCCGTGCGTCCTTCCGGAACCCTTCCGGAACCTGGGGACCCCTACCTGAGAGCTAAAAACCCCGGAGCCTATCTGGGCAGAACCCAAGAGCCATCCGCGGTTGCCTTAAACTCGGCCTGTAAGTCTTTTGGAGGGCTGAAGGGTCACGGAGCCATCCCGTGGGAAATGGGGTAGGGCCAATGTTGGATCTTTGCGGAGGACCGTAGTAATCAAGGGTGGTTTCCTTCTAGTACGGAAATTATATATTTTCAGGGGTTCCTTTGATTAGTAGGGTCTTCTGGGTTCATCTGAAGTTGACCAGGGAGCCGCCCTATCATGTCACAGGAATGAATCGCCATGGCCGACTCTGTTTCTCTTGCCTATTTCCCAGGGACTGAAAGCACCGGAATAATATGAGCCCTCGAAAGAAAACCCCCTCCCTTGCCGGTGGTTTCCACATTTTTTGGGGGGGAGCCGCCCGGGCGTAGTAGTGGTTTAGCTTTGCGGCCTATGGCACCAGGTCTTCGGACCAAAGGTCTCATCCCCTGGCCTTCGCAAGGCCAATCCTGGTGGTGGCCGCGACAGAACAGAGGAGGGACCGCAAGACACGGGGTCGCAACATGCAAAGCTTGGCTCGCCATCCGGCTCCTTGGCCTTTTTTTTCTTCCCTTCTTCTCCTTGACACAACCTTTTAGTTGGTTTAGTGGTCGGGTGGCCATTTTCACCACTAGAAGTTAGCCACTTTTCGCAGACCTGAGAGCCCAAAAAGCAGCCCCTGAAATTTCCTTTGGGGCAATCTTAGGACCTGGCTCTTTGCTCGCTGCTCAAATGTGAAACAATCAGACCCTGGGCCCTGAGTGAACCGCACACAAAAAAAGGGGGTTCACAAATGGGTGTGGCTCAAAATTTAAAAAGCTGGGGTTACGCGGGTTTTAGTGTTTGGTTCCATTTACCAAGGTGCCATCTTGGTACCACTTTTTTGAGCCACAGCCAAATATGGGTGTGGCATTTTTATTTTTTTTTTTTGGCGGGGGGGGGGGGGGGTGGTTTTACGAGGGAAGCCCTGCTTGCAGCAACCCAGTCCTCTACCAGAAAAGGCTTCGTCTTCAATGCAGGCCTTCCATTGACGCTGAGGTTTTCTATCCCGAAAGCCGGCAAGAGGCTTCGCTTTTGCAAGCGGAACTTGCAACAGGTCGACCACCATCTATGGAAAAGCACCATGTGTGAAAAACCCAAAAGAGTTTTCTTTCTTTTTTTTGAGGGGGGGCATTCCTTTTCGGAGGGGTATGAAACCACCAGGTCCTGGGCCCATTTGTCCCAGGGTCAAATGTTGGGCGACAACATCCCGAGCCCACGCCGGGAACGAACCAGCGCCGCTGCGCCGCGTCGCGGGTCTCGTCTCGGTTTCTGCGAGGACTACTTGCTGCGGTCCAAGACCCAGGCGGAGAAGGCCACGAAGACTTTGGGCCCGGGCGCTTAGCGGAGCGGAACGAGCGGAGGATCCCCTCGGTGCGGGGGATGGGTTTCAACTCGTTTCCGGGTTCGGGACTCGAACAAGGTGTTTTTTTTTGGAGGGGTTTGGGTGAATGGGATATAGCAACACGGGGTTTTTCTGGGGGGCTGAGAAAATTGTTGGCCAACCAGAAAGGGGACGGGGGGGTTGATGAAAGGGTCCGAACATGGGATGGCCATGGGGAGAATGAGGGCTGATCAAGGGTCCTTTCCTTTGGGATGAAGCCATTGGTTGGACTGGAAAGATGAATGATATTTTTTTACAGATGGGAAGGTTACTGGTCAAAACTGGGGGCCTGCGGTATTGATCAACCCCCTTTACCCCTAGTGTTTGCATATCCCACTAAACGGCATAGTGGTTTGGCGGTGCCTCAAATTAGGGGACATCTGAAAGGAAGAGGGCACCCAACCTGGAGGCCAATTTTGAGACGCAGTTCATTTGGGAGAAACGCAGGGACTCAATAAACTTCCGCACGAAAACAAGGGGATAGGCCCAACATTTGCTAATTTGCAGAAGTGACGAAGGGGAGGACTCTTGGCAGGTCAGGAGTTGTAGCCCAATATCTGTTTGGTGAGAGGTTTCTTTCTTGAAGGGGCTTGAAAGTCCTCGATGAGCACTGGGGGGTGATTCATCAGCCCCCCGGACCCAAATCGATCTCCTTACTCTGGGATTCCTTCATCTTAGTTTGGCGGGTGACAGGCTGACTGGTGTTTCCTTTCAGAACAGATGCACCAAGCGGGCCTAATCTTGGGAATCCCATCCAGTTGGACAGCTTGTTCTTTGAGAAACGGGCTGCTGGAAGTTGCCTTAAGCAAAAACATGCAAGACACGCCACTCGGCATTTTCTTCTCGCTCCGGGCTGTCGACTCGTTTCTTTGTTCTTTGTTGACTCCATGGCAAGACTGAGGCAAGATCATGGAGATCCTGGGCTTGTCAGAGAATCTCTACAAGTGAGTGAACACGTGCCCGACGGTTTTTAGTCGGGTTTCGGTTTGGCCGGTTTGGTCCGGCGGTGAATGTTTGGATTGCAGTGAAGGAGTCGTGCAAAAGCCCATTCAAAGAACGTTTGAAGCGTAACCTTCTTGGTGTTCACCAAATAGTTGTGTCTTTTTCAGGGATCCTTTCGTTCGTTTGTTTTAAGCGGGACACGAAAGGGACACCACCATATTTATGGGCTATTTTAAGACAAACCCCCATGCCCATATGGGCATGCGTCAAGCTTGGGAATCGCACAAATCGTGATGAACAACAACAAAACAATGGTACCTTCAGCCCCCGCGCCCCCTTTCAAACCAACTAAACCAATTCAACGCGTGTTTTAGCCCCCACAAGGAGACATGACATGTTTGGGCGCTCGCACGTTTTCTTCGCGTGTCCGTCTCTCATTGATTCGACATAGTCTTTCGGATGCTCGAGCTGCTGATTTCCCGTTGTTTGATTACTGTGGTCTCCTCGAACCCAACTTCATGTTAGGGAGACTAGCTACGACACAGAATCTTAGCGTATTGTTTTCGGTGTACCCCAGATGTGGGCGAATCAAGTGAAAGGATCCCAGAGGTTCCCTTTTGGAGTAACGCAAGCATCCCAAAGGGGCTCGAATCTACTTAGCAGAGCACCTTGGGGACGTGGTGCCTGGCTTTCGGCTTCGGTGAATGGGGCAAGGGCGACAGGGCCTGAAACTAGATACGTATGTCCCAACCTCCACAGGTGTTCAAGGGTGACCAAAAGCAACAAAGACAAGGAAGCTCCCGCTTTTCCTCTCAGGTCCGTTTTCCTCTTCCTAGGTCGCAATCGAAGGCTTGCTCGAGCAAAGGCCTCAGTTTTCATTCGGCTCCGGGCGGCGGAGCTCGCCGCCCATTTTCGCCGCGGAGAAAAGGAGGCCGCGGTTGGAAGTCGTGAGACACGGGCCGAGGCGGTTGAAACGGTGGTCCGTTATTGGACACTGGGAGACCTCCAGTGGTGCCCCTTGTTTTGCTAGAGAGAGGCCTGCCTTGGAACTTAAGTACCAAAAGAGCCTCATTTTCTTTGAGGTCCGAGGTGTGAAAGGATTAGCCCAAACCGAAGGGCTTGACTTGACCGAGGCTTTCTTGCTTCCAACCAACAAACAACAGGATCAGGCTAGAAACAAAAGGCATATTCCTTTGAGGACGTGTTTGCAAGCGCATTTGTGTAAGCTGAAGGAAAGTAGTGTGATCAATTCACATGAACCATGGGCAAAGATGGAATGGTCACCAGAGGACCATGATGATCGTGGCGGACACTGTCACATGTAATGTAGGAAGCATGACATGCGAGGATGATGTGCTTAGGTTGATCATATATCTTTGCTGATGCGTATTACTACTATTGTAATTTTGGTGTATTTCTAGTACGTATTGCATGTCTTTTGTCTCTTAGTTTGTTTATCACGGCTGCTTGTGTCGTCCGAATGAATGCCACATTCCAGTTTCATGGCTGCCTCATCCGCTGGTCATGGAGCCAGGCGCAACCAGAGTTCCTCATCAAGGACTAAATGAGTCACACTAGTCAGCATGTGACAATTGTCTCGAAAGGGCATATGGGTTTGAAAGGTTTGCTTGGTTTTCCTATCAAACCAACCGCAAAAAGGATACCCTCACAGAACACGCAGCAAAAAGGGCCGGGGGGGGGGGGTTGTCAAAAGGGAAACCGCGGCCATTGTTCCATAGTTTCACATTGCATTTTGAGGGTTTTCTCGTGAATGTGTTTGTAAGATATTGTGACTGCAGGAGGCGGTTCACGGCTTTTGTGGATCCACCCGTGTAGCATCTGAAGCAAGTACCACAGGAGTACAAACAAAAGGTCAACAGCGAGAAGAACAGGCGGAATCCACAAGAAGCTTATCCAAGCCGGCTTCATATTATGATTGTTCCAGGTGGTAACGATCTCTTCTCAAGAAGGTCTCAAGGTATCAACGGGTTTCTGTTGAAATCGCAACAGGTCTCCTGGACTCGCCCCGAGGTCGACTCTGGTTTGCGGCGTGTCTTTTGCTCCGCGTTTCAACTCAACCGCTTCTTCCGCCCTGGCAAAAGCAGCGCGTTTCTCTCATTGCTTTGGATTTGCGGACGCCGGTTTTATTGGCTCAACGTCGGACGAACGACTCGGAGGTTTTGAAAGCTCGGATCCATTTTTTTCAACGTTCCCGATGGCAACCTCCAACTCGGGGCTGCGCTCGGAGGGCTTACTGCCGGCAGCGGCTTGGCGATAAGGGCGGGTTTGAAAGGGAGTCAGAGTTGGAGCCCCGCTTCCGGGCTTTCAGAAGATGTTTACTTTTTTTGGACAAGGACGGATTCATCAGAATCGGAAACTATGAGTTTTGGCGTATCCGGCCATAGCCTAATAGCAGGTAAGCGACCATTTTCCTTCTAGCTCTTAAGCAGCTCCCTCGGTTCCCTATACACGACCAGGGAGAAGACCTTCCCCAAATGAAATGGGACATTGGGGCTTGTGAATTCTGGGCTAGTCGCACCAGGGCTGATCAATCAGGTTTCGGAAATGGGCGTGTTTTGTGGCACACCAAAAGGAAACGACAAAACCCGGTTTTTGAAGACAGGCCCAAACTGCCCAGCCGTCCCAAAGGCTCTCGAACAATTCTGGTTGGCAAAAATCTTCAGCGCATGTGTGGCAGCTTTTGCCATTCCTTGTGCTCGGTCGGAAGCTTAACGGAACCGATCCCCGCATCAAGTCATGGAAGGGGCGGCTGGGAGCTGTCCGTCACCCCGCTGACCCACACTCTTTTCACGCAGGGCATTAGTTTGTGGAACATTTATTGGACCCTGCGACCCCCCAAACAAAAACAAACAAACAACCAAAACAAGAAAACACAAAGCACAACAACACTTGTGTTTTTCCACAAGAACCCCAGACATTTTGTGCCAACTCCAAGAATAGGCACTCTCACAAATGTCTGTGCCGTTAGTGCTTCCCCCTTTTTGGCAACTTCCGTCAAACGAGGCGTCAGGCTGTGGGAGAGTTGGCTCGGAAGCCAGGGAAAGGCAAAAACAGAATTGGTTTCCACTGAACCCCAAGGACATCTTTCACGCCAAGGTTGCCTTGGGACTTTTTCGCAGCACGGAATCAGGAGGTTGCCGTGTCTCCGTAAGAAAAGGCCAACCCGTTTTGCCCGAGGTGTGGGTGGCCCCTCTTGTTCTCAACCCCCTCTCAGGCCACCGCAACCAATTTTCAGCGTTTCCCCAATTGGTGGTTTGAATTGGTTCGGATTTGGATTTGAAGCCCTGGTTCTTGAGGGTGAATGGGACACCACCCCCAAACTCCAACCCACCAAGGGACGAAACCAGCCCTAAAAGGGGTTGGATTCATACACAGCCAGCAGAATGCACAAGCACAGATAATTGTCTCATGATCGGTCAACTTGGCGTGAAAGTCCCCCCACTGCTCCTGAAAGATACAGTTTGTTTCGGGAATGTTGGCAGGTGCCAAAAACGATACTTCTTGGTTGCGTGGTCATGGCCCGCTGTAACAAGGCCAATCAAAGTATTGATCGCCGAACCATGGATGGAATGTTGCCAGTGAAATATTGGCGGTTGATCAAACACCGGTGCTGTTCCTCGGAGTTTCCCAATTAGGTTGCTTCCGTCATGGACTCCGAGTAGGGTGCATGTGGGCGTTTGGTATATCCGAGGTCGGGGTGGGCGCCTGCGTCTACTTCGCGCTCAGCGCGGTGTCCCTGGGCACGCTGGGCCTGGTGGGCGTGGGCGCGGGGGTGGGCTACGGCGTGGGCAGCTGGGCCATGGATCGGCTCAAGCAGAAGCGCTGCGAGAAGCAGATGGACAGGACCCAAGCGGCCCGCGAGACGTTTTTTTTGAGCGAAGGGGCAAAGTCCCTTAGCCATCCGGTTCCTTAGAGTTTTCCTTGTGACGCTCCCAAGTGACAAGTCGAATGGTGGCCAATTCTTGTCCCAAGTCGAGTCGGAAGTGGCCGTCATGGCGGGAACCCCCTGATTCCTGTCCGGTTCCTTAGGTGTTTAGGTGTCTTTAGTCGGTTGAGTGGTTGGGCTTCCATTTAACCTAAAAGTTATAACCTGCTAGCACTGGATCTGAGGACAGCCCGGGATGGAGTCCGACAAGGAGTTTTTGATTGTCTTTTTCTTGGAACAGCTTCCATGTTCCCGCAATTCCCAACCAGCCCGTATACTTCAGCGTGTGAAGGATACGTTCGAGACAGAAGAGAGAAGCGCCGGAAACCAGCTGATTTAGAGGATCCCCTTACAAAGCAGCTGGTTTTTGTCTGTCTCCTTCTACTGGAGCCCTGTTTTGCCCATTGGATGAACATGAACATGGGGAACATGATCTCGAGCCCAAGGATGTCCGGAACCATCCCGTTTTTAGACCACCGGTTTTTTACTACCTAAACCAAAAGCATGGGCGAACCAGTGGTTTACACACGGTTCAAGCACACGACCTCAAAAAGGGAAGCGGGACCGAAATGGTTCGAATCAAGTTCCGAAGCCCCCCAGCTGCGTCACAAATGCTTGCCCTTTTGGTTTCCCGACGAAAGCCAATCCCAACGGGGTCCTCGAACAAAGCTGGGCCCAGCCACCCGTCTGTCAAGCCGGAAAAATGGGGGTCTGGGCAAATTATGGCATGCCTTTGGGTTTCCATTCTTTAAAATTGGGGACCCCTCCAAGTGCTGGTTTCCTTTTGGTTTTCCTCGAAAAGCATACCAAAAGCGGATGAGAGAAGCTCCCACTTCAGATTCTGAGCTCGAATGGATGGTCTCCTTTTGGTTTTCCTTTTGACCCTCCAAAAGGGTACCCCAAAAAGCGACCCCAGCCGCTTTTGGGGAACCCATTTTTTTTCCGGATGTTTGGACTGCCCATGGTCAAAAGGCGGAACAAACAGAGACATGTGATGCAGTAGTAGTGGACATCCGATTTGCCTACCACAAGGTGGAGCTTTCCACCTTCCCGGAACCCTCCCCCCCACCCCCCCCAAAGACAAAGAGAAACAGAGTATATACAGTAGCAGCCCCCAGACTGCTTTGCGAGAACTCCCGGTGTCCCCTTGTTGTCCCAGTGGTTGCAATAACATTGACTTCCCCAAGGCACCCATCCTTTTTGAAATCTTTATCCCACCCAGAGTAAAAAGGTGAGCCCGGGTGCTCGGATATTTTTCCCCTGTTGTTTCCCGGGTGGGGCGCCCTTCCGCCCCTCACCGGGCGGGCTTTCTCGCGCGTTTGAACTCGCGCGAATCTCGCGAGCTCAGCGCCAGGCTCCCGGCGGAGCTGAAGGCGGCCCTGGGCCAGTGGCAGGCCTTCCTGGCCGCGCGGTGCCCCAACCGCCAGCCCTCTGCCGCGGAGGCGGAGGCAAGGGCCGCGCCGACTCGCGGGTCAGTGCCACTCACAGCTTCCCCAAAATGGGGAAACCCGGGGGGGAATACATAGTCCTCTTGGTTTCCCTTCAAAACCCACAGAAAAGGGGCACCCTCAAAGAAGAGGACAGACCCAGTCTTTAATTTTCGGGTTTCGTCCATCGGATGTTATAACCATCCACAATACAGTTGCGGCTTTCGATTTGATCAGTTGAGGACATGGCCGGGTTCCCCTGTTTCTACCAAGGCCACCGGGAAAGGCTGGCTTTTGTTGGGTTTATTTGGCTGGGGGTGGGGTTACTCCAAGAGAAGAAGAGCAAACAGAATAAGATCTTTACAAGTGTTTTGTGTGGTCCTTCATGGATGTGCCCTTTCTCTTAATGGTTGTAGGTGGGCATATTTCCCCTCAGATAGCCGAAGGAGGCTGTTTTGCGAGTTAGGGCCTCAGGGTGCTGCTTGCGGCGTGCTTGGCGGTGCCTGTTTGTGGGTGCTGGCCAGACTGCTGTTTGGCGTGTCAAGGTGCTGTGGTGGTTGCTGGCGCTGCTTGTTTGGCGATGCAGGCAGGGTGCTGGTACGGGTGCTGGTGAGGGTGCCGGGGAGGGTGACGGGCAGGCTGCTCGTCAGCCTGCTGTTTGGTGTGTGGCGGTTGCTGGCGGCTGTTTGAATGATCGCAACTCCCTCATGCTCATTGGGGTCCATTCTGGTGTAACGGCTTGGTATGGGAAGGCAAACGTTCCCCCAGCCAGAACCTCAAACAGTGGCAATATTTAAAGTGATTTGTGCAGAGAATGACACATATTATGTTGGTTGAAGGGACAGCCACAGGCAACAACCCTGTTTAGTGGTTCCCGATTTAAAAAGACAAACCCATGTTCCAATGATTGGCAAGACCCCCGCAAATAGGACCCTCCAAGCCCAAAAGTGCGATTAAATAGCGGCTAAGGTCGTTTGTTGGGGGCGGGGGTTCCTTTTGGACGTGGTTTTTGGAAGGTCCGTTTCCGCTTTGAGGACTGACAACCCATGGCTGCCATGTGCTTCGTACGGTTTGCCAGGGGCTCTTCGCGGAGTTTGCGCAGATCGAGCCCTTCTGCGCGCAGCAGGTGCAGCAGAGACTTGGCTTCGAAAGAGGGACATCACCTGTTTCTTTCTCTCTCTTTTTGCAGGTGGGGGTTTCCTTGAAGAAAGCAAAACCACAAACTTTAACTGGGGAGGTTTCCCTTGATTAAAGAAATACATCGATTTTGATTGGAGACTGTTCGGTGGACAATATATATTGCCGGAGATCCATGTCCACGAGCCGTTTTGCCGCGTTTTTGTGTGGACCAGACGTGTGTTGCGAATAACAAGCTCGAGTGAGGACTCCAAAGAGTGTCATTTGACTTGATGTGGTCGGTCATTTTGGCGAAAGACTTTTCTTTCATTGCCCGGACCTTGGTGTCTGACCAAGTGGGAGGTTGACTTGGTCCCTCTGCGCAACGCTTAGCAACACTTCTCCAAAAGCCCCCTGAGCAATTCTACCTTCCGACTGGGGCCGTCTGACAAACACAACTTTCAAAACTAGCTGCTTGGAGGTTTTGAATCCACTCTTGAATTTGGGTTCCGCCATTCTCTCTTTAGGCGGCAAATTTGGAAAAAAAGGAACCCTTCAAAGAATGGGGAAGTCCCACCCCATTTTGTGGCGATTCTGGCAACACCAACAACACAACTCCTTTTCACTTTCACCAACATTTTCCCTTGAACCTGCAAGAAGTGTGCGCCGTTTTTGCCCATTTCCTGTCAACACAAATGAGATCTTCAGGAATCCGCCCCCGCGCAACAAGTGAAGACTGTTCCCTGTTTCAAAGTGAACATGACGGACACCCAAAACGTGCAATAAGTTTAACGTTTCAAAGATGAGCCTTTGGTCTGACAATATGAAACGGAGCTTCTTCTACTTGGATGGGCGGCCTCAGTTTTCGCGCAGCGCAAAGGGATCCGACAGCGAAAAGGTCACTCACCTGGGCAACCAGCAGCTGGGGCCCTCATCCAAATCTCATTTCGGCTGTTGCTTTTGGCCAAGGTTCGTCGTGGTCCATGGCGGCAGCACCAGCCGCGGTCAGCCGGCCGCAGAAGTGTGAAACCAGTCTGCGCGCGCTGCGCGCTTGTTTGCGAGCGGTCGCGTGGCCGTTGGCCGGACATAGGTCTGTCCCAAAATAGCGGAACCTTTTTGGCTGGTTTTAAAGGGAAACCAAAAGGAAACCGACCTCCTGGAAGGATCTGCAATCCTCAGTTGGATCTCTGGGAGTTGAGCACTGGTTCCCTGGGATTGGAATTCAATACTTGCCAAGGCGGGTTCCCAACCAGTCAAATTGGTAGCCCCCTTTGCAGGTTCCTTTCACAGTGTTTTTGATTCCTTATGCATTGCCAACCTATCCCAAGGCCAAAAAGTGCCCAACCCCCAGAGACTCAGTACCCTCCTGGCCAAACTGGCCAGGACTGTCCATACATCGCGCGATTCGGATTTTGCACCTTTAAGTCTGGCAAAAAAGAACGCCTGCCGTGAGGCCAGTTTGTTTCAGGCATCTGAGTTTGCTGCCCACCCAACTAGTGGAATTCGGGGGGGGGGGGGGGGCTTCGCCATACCGTTCCCCTTCGTAGGCATTTGGCAAGCAATGCGAGGAAGGGGGCCTAGCGTTTCTCTTCTCCCGATGTTTGGACGTTTGCCGATTGCGCAGCCTTTCTCTCGAGGCTAAACCAACTTCACACACACACACGCACACACTCACACCTGGCCCCAGCCACAGTTTTCGCAGGCGACGACTCTGGGAAGCCATGCCACGACAAGCAAACCGCAGGCAGAGCTCCCCTTTTACCAGCTCGATTTGTGTTTTCCTCACTTCGCAAAGCCGCGGGTAGTTTCACATGGCGATGAGAGTGCCCGTTGTCTTCAAAGGAGCGTTTGTGGGGACTGGGAGAGATGAAAGGGACTGCGTGCTCAACAGCTAGTCATTTTTCCCAAACAACAGACCCCCGTTTTAGCACCCAAAGGATTCGACTTTTTTTTTCTTCTTCTTCTTTTTTCTCCCTGACCATGGAAAGGTTAGTTATTCCTCATTTGTCAGTCCTCTTTGCAGGATACTCGAAGAGTTGCCAACTTCCAAGTCAACGCTAAACGAAACGGAGCGACACACCTTTTGGTTTGGCGAAAAGCCTGGCCTCAGGTTGTTCTTACCACAGTCGAGAAACTGGCCAAAAATGTTTCTTCTATCATCGTCACCCCCCCCCCCCAAGTGGCTGGTGTGCACAACAGCTGATGAAAGAAACCCGAGATGAAGTCGTTGAAGCCCACAGACCCGGCAAATAGCAACCTGCCCAAATAAGCTCACTTTACCGTAAGCGCAGACCTGTCCCTCGGAGTAATGTTGACCCCGGAGTAATCAACCCCAGTTTATGAATAGGGGGGTGGGGCCCCTCCAAAAGTGATGATTCTCCGCTAAACCCAGGGACACGCCCCTATTAATAAACTGGGGCTGATTAATATGGGGTCAAAACTATTGAGACCAGGCATCACAAAATTATCAGATCTCTATTGAAACGATTTTGCATATTCAGGTTCACTAAGTATTGAATCCTGGGCAAATCCTAACGAGCTCACCTGATAAAACAAGCTCGCCCGGGAAGACTACTCGAAGTTTCATTGGTTCGGCTTGTGAATTGTGATTTGCCCGAATTGCACACCGGTACGCGCCGCCTTTTAAAAAGGATACCGATATCCGAAATCCTGCTGTTCGACGGATCGGATGAACGCCATGGGCAACACGTTGGATGTTTCCTTGGCTTCCCGAATTGCTATTCCCCTGCTTGCCTGCCTGAGTTTGAATGACCCTAAAATGGTTTGAGCAAATGGGGTCCGCCACAAAACGCAAGTTCATTTGTTCGGTCTCGTGTGGGGCAACCATAATGCTACAGTGAGTGCCCCAGACTAGAGCAAGTAAGGGCGCGGGGCAAGCCTCCAGTTCACCGATGGTTTTGTGGTGGAGCACGGTTGGGGTACTTGCAAGAGTGGGCATGTGACTTGCTTGCGAGTTCTCGGCCACTTTTTTTGTGAAGCGTTGCATCTGATCTTCGGCTGGTTTCACTTGACCCGTGCGACTCGCACTGAGAGGGTTCCTTGAAGTCCGAGGAGTTCGAAGCTTCGGGCTGAGTTGCTTTAGGTTCAAGGAATCGATTGCTTTTACACAGAATTCGGTTGCCTGCAAAAAGCTTGGCAGCGACAAAAGATGTTTTTTTTTTTTTGTCACAGTCGGGGACCCCTCCAGGTGGTTTAGTTTCCATTTGGCACCCAGCCAAAAAGGGGCCCCTTTTGGGAAACTCCCATATCTTGTTGTATTCGTTTTGTGGCGCGGCCGGTTTTGAACCCATAGGGGTCGAGTGCGAGAGCTGTTGTCGCTCACATGCCAACAGAAAAATGAAGCCATTCAGAATGGCTTCGATCCAGCAGGAGGGCTGACCAGGAACAAAGTGCTGGCTGGCTAGAACCAGGAAAATCCGATTGTGCCACAAATCAAAACCCAGGTAGATGAAGGGTAAGGGGCAGTCCAAGCCAGGAATAGGTGCAGCTCTTTCCAACAAGTTGCCCCGTTCAAAATCAATCAGTCAGAGGGCCATCCACCCCAAAGCGAGCACTAAAATTGAATCATTCTTTTGGAGGTCCTGTCTTTGGGAAAATCAGCTGGGTTGTTCGAAAGAACCCCCCCCCCCCCCCCAACAAAAAGCCCCCCCCCCCCTCAAAAAAAGCGGGTTTTAGTCGACATTGGGAAACTTGGCTACCCTTAAGGGCTCTCTCTCTCTCTCTCTCTCTCCTCTCTCTCTCTCTCTCTCTCTCTCTCTCTCTCTCTCTTTCTCTCTCTCTTTGCGGGACGTTTTGAGCCAAGTGACTCGCAGGAGTGAAGGAGAAGATGCGGGGCTATGCGTCCGACGAGGCTGGGGAGAGGGAGGGGCGCGGGTTGGGGAGGGTGGGAATCCGAATATACAGGGCAAAGAGCTCACAGGCCCAATTCCACGGATCTGGGCCTTCCTTTCTTGAGACACCGATTTTCCAGGGCGGCTTGCCGGGCCCAAGGGCCCTTTGAGCCCCGAACTCCCGACGAGCAGCGCTCCAAATACCGTGCTAGGTGTTTGAGGTCAGGGATGCCAAGACCTGAGGTATCTCTGTCCAAGACCTGGTTTTTGAAAATCTAAGCTAGAAGCAAGTGTTTGAAGTAGGGTGTTGTTGCCTGCTACTTCCCAAAGACTTTCGGAAGCAAGGCTTTTAGGGTTTCGAGGCGGAAGAATGACTCATGTCTGCCAATGGGCCAATAGGTTTGCTTCCTACTCGCTTGGTTGCAACTCTTGACATGGATGCGGAAGCTGAAAGCAGGAAGATCGAAGAATAGCGAAACATATCAGAGTGCTACCGAGGGGCTTCCAGGTGCCACTGCACTAGGGAGCTCCAAAAAACAACCTTTCAAAGTTAGATACCAGGGATACCTTTCATGTTTTGGTAATTGGGATCCAATGTGCTAAGGAACCGCGCGCAAAGAGAGGGCACCGCGCGCATTTTCCTCACAAGAACGCGGGCTCGCACTAATTTTCCAATGTCGTTTTGGCTTTTGGGTAAACAAGCAACTTTGGATCGTGGCTCAGTTCAAGCACGTCAAAGATTTCTAAATCCTTTTGTGGTGAGTTCCCACTTATCGTTCCTTGTGACTGGAAAACACCTGCTGTTGTTTAAACTTACTTAGACTTAATATAACAACAGACTAGACAGATGAAAGCAAGAAACAAGCAAAGAACATAATAGTTTTATAAATGCAATCCCTAATTTGAGAGCTACAGAGCCAGCCTCGTTTTCGAGGGTATGTTTGCCTTTTTGCTTTTGTTTCTTGCGCCGAGAAGCCAACGGGAACACACCGCCCAGTTTGCAGGGTGTACTGCTCGGATGTGTCCGACACATGCGAAAAAAACGTCTGGCTGAACACGCACTTTTGCCTCTGCGTGCTTCTTGTCTTTGCGAGCTCACGTGTTTCAACGGAGCTACGATGTAGTTTGGGGATCTTCTGTCAGGTTTCGTGCCTCGTTTTCTTGTGGAGTTCTTTGGCAGCTCAGGTGTGGCGGACTTCGGGTTGGCGGAGTTTCGCTTTCGGGGTTGTACGCCATTGCCCCTTTTCTTTTCGGCTTCGGAAGCGGCAAGCTTCAGGGCGGCTTCGAGCCATCCTGGCCGTCAAGGCTTCCAGACCCCGAGGCTGGTGGGGTGGCGTACCCGTGGGGTGGATTCGGATTGGTCCTGGGGGCTTCGAGCTGACTCGATGTTTTTGGATGAAGCTATGACGCAAACGTTGCCAATACTCCATTGAGTTGTATTGTACTGTATGATCTTGAGTGTTTTCTTAGTTCGTCTCCATTAATCGAGTGAATCAGCAGGTTGTGTTGTGAATTCAAAAGCAACAGCATTTCCCTTTCGCCTGGAGCACACTTATCAAGTAAGGTGATTTGAGGGAACCAAAGGGGAACCACCGTTTTTCGGGCCCTAGTTGAACGCAGAACCATTTGAAATGGTAGTTCTTGTTGAAGAACCAAAAGGGAAGCCACCATTTTGAGAGTCCCCCCAAAAAAAGGAGCCACCCATCCACTTGGCCGGCACTCCCATCTTGATGGAGACGAAAAAGGCAGAGCTCATCTTCCCCGACCAATCTCGGGATCGCCGCTGGAAAACGCCGCCGTGCGGTGAAGAGGAGGTTGTTGACACAGCCGGGTGTTTCTTTTTTTCCACCACGGGCTTTTGACGACTCGACCCGCCCCGGTGGGACCCTGCAATGAACATTTTATTCCGGGGTTTTCGAGCCGGGCGGCTTCCTCAGTTGAAGTTTCGGCAGTCCCGATGATAGAAACGAGTGCAGCCCTGTTGAGTCTTTCGAAGTTGAGTCTTCGTGGTTGGTTCTACTTATGGCTTTTCTTTTGGAGTAGCCGCAGGGGTGATGTAGACTCGGGCATTCAACCGAAACGCCTCGTTTTGACCCATTTCCAGCAGGCTTCAAACTTGTCACAAAGATGAACCGTGGTTCTTTTTCTCCGGAGCAACTCGAAAAGGAGCCGTTTCACCTTGACCATTCAGGGTCCGTTTCTTCCCTGAGAGGGGTTGCTCTGGCTGTGTCTAAAAACCGTGGGATGCGCCTGGCAAGGGAGACTTTTGGAACAGCGGTTCAAGCGAGCCAAGCGAAGCCTCAAGCTTCGCGCGTACACGTCGAGGCCACGGACATCGAGGTGGAGGGTCTCGAGGAGCTGCCGGAGTTGCCGCCCCCGGCGCGCTCGAGATCCCAGTCCTCGCCGGGGGGCCCCAGCAGTGGGACTCGCGCGGGGGATCGGGCGCCCGGGCGCTTGTGTTTTTCTTGTTGTTTTTTCTTCTTTTCTTCTTCTTTTCTCTCCGGGGAAAAACTTTTTTTTTTTGACTCGGGAGCCGTGTTTGTTCATTGGATGTTTTTGGCCCCAAGCAGCTGGACCAAGCCTATGTTTTCCCCATTGCCATGCTTGAAAACATGGCTTCAACGGGGCTTGGTTGGTTGCCCGTTTGAAGCGAGCCTCCTTTTGGATGGGGTGTTCAAACGGGGCATATTGGCAGCCCGGGCTTTTTGTTCGACAGCCCAACCAACAATGGGAAGCCACTCGGCTTGCGTGGCAGCTGAAGAAAAAGGGGTTTGGAACGGAGTGAGAGCGTGTGTTTTTTGTTGAGCTGGTACCCCTTACTGTTGAGAGACCACTGCGGGAGTCCACATTTGGTGCTTTTCCGGTCCCACCTCTGGCCCGATCTCCAAGTTTGGCACATTGGCTGATTCTCCGGGAGGATCAAGACGAGATGCTCCGTGAATTGAGAAAGCATCCTCTAACACATTGGTGGAAGATGATTGCCAAGGATAAATCGGACCAGCGCTCAGCCAAAACGAGCTGCTTCGCCTTGGGTGAGAAGGTGTATAGGTGTGTAGGTGTGTAGGTGTGTAGGTGCGCAGGTGTGCAGGTGTGCAGGTGTGCAGGGTGTGCAAGTGTGCAGGTTTGCAGGTGTGCGGGTGTACAGGTGTGTAGGTGTGTCTGTGTGTAGGTGTGTCTGTGTATAGGTGTGCAGGTGTGCAGGTGTGTAGGTGTCAGGTGTGCAGGTGTGTAGGTGTGTAGGTGTGTGTGTATATATATATATATATATATATATGTGCAGGTGCGTAGGTGTGGAGGTGTGCAGGTGTGTTCCCCCTTTCAACCTGCAAGTGGGCATGTGTCAAAATGGCCGTGGCTTAAAAATAGATACCCAGAATGGAATTCAGCGGTTTTCGGGTGGTGACTAATTTTGACCCATACCCAAATAGGGGGACCTGCACGGGTTCCCGTCTTGGTGCCCTCCAAGACGGGGCACCGGCGAATTTTTTCCGCCAGGACCCGCTCCTCGGCGCCCTCTTCAACCGCCTCCCCCAGGCGCATTTCCTTGCGAGCCTTTTCAGCCGAGTGCGAGGAAACGTGGCCGGTCGCCTCAAATCCCCCGTGAGGAAGGGAGGGCCTCTGGAAACTCTGTGTGGTCAAGGGCGGTTTTTTCATTTTTGAACTTACCAAGCCCAGGCTGGCCGTTGAACAGTGTGTTGACGCGTTTTTCGGGCCAGCTTCTAGATATTTTCGTTCAACGTACTGCGGCTGAACTTTTTTGGAGATCTCTTTTGATCAGATTTTGCTTTTTAAGGTTCACAAATGGTGGTTGCCAGAATCAAGCATTTTGGGCCGGGTGGGTGGGTGGGGGGAATCAGTGTCTGGCTTCAGAGATTTCAACATACGGACTGAAACCACTTTGGGGGAACGCACATTTTGGAGGGTAAGCGGCCTACAAGTCCATGCGGTTCTCCTCCCCCTCGGCCAGGAACGACAGCGCCACGGAGGACAGAGCTGACACCGAGCCGAGACCTGGATTGGCAGTTAAGCCAAGAGCACCATCAAGCAGCCCATGACGGCACAAAATCTCTTCTTTTTTTTCTCTCTCTCTCTCTCTCTCTCTCTTTCTAGATCATCACATTTTCCTTTCTTTCTGTTTATCTATCTACCTATTTATCTGTTTAATCCATCAGATCTATCTATTCTACCATATCGGCCTAAATCTGTCTGATGTGTTTCATCTACCTAGTCTAGCTAATCTTTTTCATCTATCTATTCTGTCTATCCTATCTAGTCTATCTATTCTATCTAATCTAACCAATCCACCAATCTATCTAAGCGGCCCAATCCATTTAATCTACCCAATCTACCCAATCTACCCAATCTAGCTAATCGATCTAGCCTACCTCGCCAATCTAATCTGTGTAATCCATCATATCTATCTAACCGATCTACTCTATTTGCCCTTTCTCATCTATCTAATCTATATATATATATGCCATCGTGGATATTAATCCATCTCATCTGTCTGCCCTGTCTATTCTACCTAACTTATCAAATATTTCTCATCTGTCTAATCTGTCTAACCTAGCTAACCTATCTAATCTATTTATCCGTCTTTCTGTCTATCTATGTGTATCTGTCTAACTATCTATTCATCTATCGTCTGTCTACCTATCTATCTTCACAATAAGTGGCTTCTTGATGTAAGCAGGCATCTATATATATATTATATATAATTATATATATATATACATCATATTTGAGTATACACACACACACCTGCTTATGCAGTTTGGATTGGTGGTTCAGGGCTTGGTTTGCACTTGGTAAACCAAATGAGCACATCCAAGCCACCAATGGACCAGTCCGCCCGGATTGGGCTGTTGCCGCCCGTCGAAACGAAAAGATGGTTCAGTTTTGCCTGCTTGGCGATCTTAAACACTACTTGTTTGGCCAACTAGAAATACAACGAGATCCCTAGCGTACGGAGGTAGAGCCAAAGCAAGGGGAGCCCTTGCAGCCTAGTGGCCATCTGTGCTGTTGTTCGGCCATGAAGGCCCATTCGCATGGTTTGACCAGGGCCATTTGGGTGTGTCTTTGAAGAACCCGTTTTTGGGTGGCATTTAGTGAGACACCAAAAAGCAATTTTGAGACACCCATGTAGCAGGGTAGTCTTGAGGGAGGCCAAATGGGTAGTTTCCCCTCTTTTCTGTCACATTCTACTACTTCCGCGGTCTTTGCATCCCTGATCCGCCAAACACGGGCGCATCATCGGGCAACACTGGGAGCTGCCTGCCATGGTAAGTCTGGGACACCTTCTCTTAGAGCAACGTTCTGTCAGGAGGCTTACGTGGACTGTTGAATCCATTTTCATTCGGATCGATACGTCTTTTCAGCACCCCCACCATTCTACTTGAATGGAAAGGGGAAGTTTTTTGGTGAAAGAAACATGATTTCTGGAAAAGAGAACTTACATTGCCCCACATTTCATGTCCAAGGTTACCCCTAGGAAGTTTTAGGGAAGTTATTTGCTGTACAAATGTCTAGAGGTTGATTCCCCGTTTTCTTTGACCATGGTTCTTTTCAAGAACCAAGTGTTTGCCCCAGGTGGTTTTCTGGACAAAAGGATTAGAAGGAATGGTTGTCAGCCCTCCTCCAAGAGGCCCCTCCCAGTCGTGTTCATTTTGCGGGGGTCCCCTCTTTGCGTGGGGGCCCTGGGAGAAGCGATTGATCAATGTGAAGAATGGAGCCATTTCTGCCTGTTCCACGCAATTTCCATCTCCGACTCTGCGGCCCTTGGGGCACCCGACAAAATGAGGGTGGTCCCTTTAGCTTGGCGGTTCGCCGTCCGGTTCCTTAGGCTTTTTCAATTTTTTCTCGGTTTTTTTGTTGGTGTAGTGGTTGGGTTTCCAGAAGAACCCACTGAAAGCTAAACATTTGCAGGGGATCTGAAAGCGGATGTCCCAGTTTTGTATGAAACGGCTCTGATACCCACTGGATCCCACGCAACTACAGTGGGCATTCCGTTTGGTTCGAAGGGCGGGAAACCTATTCCATGCCTACAAAAGATAAATGGGTGTTCCTCAGAATGGGAATCGGTCCCTAAAATGCTCGCGATTTCGCTCCCAACCAAAAAGGGGGCCTTTTCACCATTTGGAGCAACTCCCGAACGCTGGTTGAAACACGCCCAGTGGATACCTTTTTTTTTGGTACGGTATCCAAGGGCGCCAGTCTTTGAACGGAAAAATTCGCGATCCGGAAAAAAGAGAAAAACAACAACATGGGGAAGGGGCGAGCTTCGATGCTTTTTTGGGCCCCAAAAACCGAAGAGGAGCTGGAGCTCTACATCAGCTCGGTGTCCCCTGCAAGGATGGGAGCGAGTTGCTTCTCGTCCGCTTTTACACTTTCGAACCAAAGAGACCCGGAAGGGGCTGCCTTTGAAGGTGCCCATGGCTTCAAGCAGGGTTGCTC